CACAAAGTGAGCCGCGCTCTTGATTATATGATGATAGAAATATAGGTTGATCGTCATGAGATTCTCAGTGTGCTACATGTGAGACTATCGTCTTCGAGTCAGGACTTTGAATGGCAGCGAGCTGCGCATTTCCGAATCGAAAATCACAGAAAGTGATTCGTGTGAAAATGTGCATCAGCAGAGATCAGTTTCAACATGAGAGAGAAAAAAGGAGGAGATAGGAGAAAATTCTTTTTCTTTTTGAATATGTCTCAACATGTACTACACATGCATTTCACAAAGATTAGCGAAATACAGTATAAGAAGGAAAGGCGTAGAATTTTTAACATAAGCACATCATTCTCTACCTATGTGGTCTCAGTTAAGTGTTAGCTTGAAACTAACTACTGTTCCGTATGCACATAATATCATCGTTATTCCTCATGTTTATTAGTAATTGCCTGGCAATTTGCGAGAGTACCTAGAACGTCAAATATGATGCAATGTAGATTGCTAGCCAGACCCGATACATACAGCACCGCTACTGCTTACCTTCAATCTGTGATATCAAACGTGCCAGGTTACATCGGAAAAAGGCAGAGCGACATTAAATATCAAGTTGGACAGTTGCAATACCACTCATTCCTACCTCTTACATGCCCTTAAAATTCAATAATCTTCAATCAGGAGCTCTAGAATATTTCATCTTCCAACTTTGGTAGCTAATATTTTCATACGATCTTCATCGAAAGTTTCAGAACATTCTAGAAATCATTATTAGGTACATGTAATTCTGGACTTCAAGAAGCCTCGAGAATTTTTCGTGTCTATCCTTTGACTTGGCATAGAAATGCGCGCGCATACACACACAGAACATTATGTATGTAGATGCTTCATCCTTATTTGTTGTTTCGTACAATAAAGAACATAGTCTTTTGCAGAGAACACAGAAGAAACAAGGAAATGCGAAAAGACACAGCTTCACAAAGATAGTAAGAACATTAGTATCGTAAGATTATCACGCAAGGATCATAATTCTCTTCAATGGTAATATTATAATTGCTTTGGTTATCGAAGGACTCTAAGTTCAGTTGTTTACACCTCGCAAGCCGATAAGGACGATCGATAGACATATTTTTTCTGGGCAAAATAACTATCTGTGACGAACAATGGATGCAGGGGTGATAAGCACACGTCTGCTAAGACGTGCCACATCGATAGCAACCAAACAATCGAAGTTTAGTATCGATCTACATAATTCCAGAAACACATGAACATCGTCTGCCCTCGCTTTCGCCTCCTTTCTCGCTCATCTTCATTCGTACTCTTACCTTCATTTACACAAATATTCATAGTCATACTCTTATACTCTCATTCAGTCCCAATCCCCCTCATCCAGGAATGTTGCAGTTTGCAGCAACTTCTGAACCTTCAGAAACAATTGCATAAGTGTTAACAAGTTCAATGAAGCATATCGGGATGACACGACATCTTGAAAAAATTTCGATTCCATCGCAAAAATAGCTTCGTAGAACAGTTTTTTCAATTGCCAATGTGCATCAATTCGTCAGAAATACTTTTGGGCAGTTCAATGAGGATTAGGCAATTCGTTCAAAAAGCGCTCATATGAGTGCTTGCTAAAAAGGATCCAGATTACTCGTTCAATACCAACCCATGAAACTAATTAACCATATGCTTTTCGATCCCTGGCTTAATTGATCTATGGAATTTTGTTTTCTAATTCGTTCATTTCGTGAGTCAAATACATTTTCAATAAATGATCCGTGAACCATAACCTTTCATCACTGAACCTTCACGTTTGCTGTTTCGTCTTCCGTTTTTCCAGCTTAGACCTTGACGATGGCACAAACATGCAAACTTTTAATTTTATTATAAGCGAACTGAGCACCCTCTGACCGTGCAGATTCTAAAGGAACCATTTGGAATGAACACTGAGCCATTCAAGAGATATCGGAATATAAAATATAAAATTACCCACACATAGGCATAGACGAAAATGTGCAATATAGATGCATCCAGATGCAAAAATGAAAACTGAAAATAAAGGAAAAAGACAGAGAGGAAGTGTCCTCTTAGTTACAGCGAGCAAACACAGAGGACAGGCAAGAATTTTCCATTATGCTAGAGAATAAAGCAAAAGCTTAAGCAGAGTTCATATATCAACCCCCACTCCATACAGTTCGAAGTCTAATCTGATACGCTAATTGCAGTGAGAGCTTCTCGTCGAGGTGCTACCTCCTTGACCCTGTCAATGATGAATGTTTTTCTAAAATTTTCGAACGCTTTGCTTTGTTCCATTAATTGATGTTTCATGTTCATAATCTGTTCTTTTATCTCCCAATCAGTATCTTGGCTTATTGATGTAATTGGCATTTTGTGTTTAGTTCCTTCATTATCCCGGGCCTGTACCTTTTTAGATACAGCCCCTACAATCCATACTGCTCCATACTTTTGTAGTCCTCAGATTGCGACAAAACACGCAAACTGCTGTTTATTGTTCATCACTCGTCTTTCAGACAAAAGAAAAAGAATGCCATCTTGCATTTATTCATGCTTTTAAACTAGGAAAGAAAATTATTACATAGATTTCATACATCCATGACTAATTTCGAATGTGAAACGATTGTATCTGTTTCGGAATCATACTTTCGAAGGCAAAGTTCTTTGGCATGTAAATGATCTGGAACACTCTCCATCGAAGGAGATTCTTGTGTTGGGTGGTTGTTTTGTTCTAAAACTGACATTCGTCTCATTGCATATTTTCGTATTCCTGATGTGAATGGAGCTGAAGGCAACAATCAACAAAACACCCTCAGTAGAGTCCACTCCACACATGCCTTATCGCCAGGATTAACTTCATGATAGAGAATTCGATAGCCGTTTCTCCACAATTGTTTGAACATTGTTTGATGCAGTGTTGCATGATAAATGTCCCGGTTCCACCAATGCGACTCGAAAGATATTTGATACGGCAGGGTAAGCCCTCGTGGTGAGTTAAATATATCAGCAAATATGGCATATTCACCTCCTTCAATGTCCATTTTGAGCACATGCACATGAGTATGATTGTTTTCGCTAGTTATTTGACTGAAACTTTTGAATTCATGATCACTGATGTTTATCTTTTCTTCTATGGTAGCATAAGGAAATAAGTACTGCTGTAGATTTGTCTTCATTCCCATGCATGTTTTGTGAAATGTATGGTGTTTGATCGGATCCTTTGGCGGAGAACTAGTGCAATCATAAGTGTGGATCTCGCACGACGTTCTTCTTGACAAGGATTCTTCGAACTCGAAATTGTTATTTGAGCCCAAACTATACACAATGCATTTAGTGGAAGATGCAACACTCGACAGTCCGCACAAGACTTTGCCGACTCCTAATGACTTTCCATAGCGTACTAAACCGTGCTTCTTCCAGCAAGGTAAATGATTCGTTCTTGGATAAATCATATCGACAATATATTCTTCAGTGATGTTGGGTGAAGGTGCAACTTTCGCAAGAATGTCATGTACAGTTTGCAATTCTGTTTCAAACCATTTGTGCCACACATGTTCCATATAAAACACTGTCTGTCGATCATAATTCGCTAAAAATGGGTTCGAAGAACACCACCGAAGTCCTGGTGATAGTGGAGTGTATAAATAATCGGACATGTTCACTGATGCACGTGAAGCTTGTTTGTAATGCCCGTAATCCAAAATCATCCATTGTACATGCTCGCTGATGAACGAAGTATAAACCGTTACGATGATAAACGTATAGATAATCATAAATGAGGCAAACAAGATTATAGGTCTTCGTTTGCGTGAGATTTGCGATCTCATAGTGTACGTGTTGCAACCTATCAAGTAACTTTGGAAAGTTGTCGTGTTATCTATAATGAATATAAATTCGTAATAGTCGAACGTATTGGGTGTGGGCAAAGGTTAATGCGAGCGTGGTAGTCGCGGAAAGGATTCTACTCAGATTTACATTTATATGCACATCCCATATTTTTCAATCCTCTATTAGTGCCATACTCATGAGAGAAACTCAACCTTTAACCATGACATATGTGTGTTTAACAAAACTATCAAGACACTGAAAATAGTTTCAGCAGAATAATAAACCGTCGAAAAGGGTTTATAACTGATATACCAGCGGGTTGGTTTTCTCTAGATCAACCCTGTTTGTCTTGATTAGTCCAACAGACCTTCCACTATAGGGTTTTCCAACACCTATGAGAAACGCATGATTTTGGGCTTCATTCGTTTGATCAACGTACAAAGGGTTGATCAAGAGAGACTCAGATCGTCGTTATATCAGTTTGTAATGGAAGTCGAACCCATTGATGTGAAACTAGCGCGAACAAACGATGTATTAGCCAAACAAAATTGACTGAATAATGTAGTGTGGAAATCGTTAACACGATTCGAATCCTAAACCTTCTTCGAATTTTAAACTTCTAAATCTAGAATTCGAAGCTTCGAGTTTTCGACTATTACATGTATGCCTGTTTCGACAATCAATGAGCATGCTAACTCAGATTCTCGATTACATTTGATACTTGAACTGACGCAAGAAGATTGGGGGAAAAGAATATTGTCTTATCCCAAAACCTTATTCTAGAGATTCTAAAAGATCCTATCACCCCAGATCGGTTTTATTGCAATACGCTAGTAGGTCGTTTCCAATACAAAGTAGTCTGTTAGATTATTTTTCGTTCCTAGTGTTTGAATTATGAGCAAATATTATTGATCTATGCACTAGCATTAAATTGATTTTTACACTTACTTGTGATACTAATGCATTACTATGCCAGAGAATGCTTTCACAAAATATTCTAAACTAAATGATTTGGTCTGCATAGAACAGTGATATGTGAAATTTCATACTAAAAGATACATTTCATCATATATTAAGTTTATAACTTATTATATTTCAAATTGAATTTTAGAAAAGAAATTAGCTTCCTCGCATCTGAAAAGCAGTGGGGTTACGGATATAAGAATATAATGCTTTCCATTAGACAAGGGCAACTTCTTAACACTTATTTAAGCGTATAGACCTAGCGAATATGCGATACTTAACGCTTGAAATGCTATGATTTCTTAATGATAATCGACTAAATAGAATTGCATATTACTAATCCACTACCTTCCAGTCTATTCAATCTAGACAATCCGTGTGTATTTGCTTTGTATCTTTACTATAGCTGTATGGCTGCACTCAAGGTATCAAAAACGTTAAGCAAGCATGGACAAATAGACGAGAACAAAAAGAGATGAGATATAATATCACCCATGACTTAGGGTCAGGGTACAAATAGGGATATTCGAAATGCTTTTTCAATCGAACCAGATCCTACCGAGACCCACCGCGCACCCTCATCCTCATCGAGAGAGATCCCTACTGATACTCACGCCTCACGTCTAAAATGATAAATACTAGGATTTTAAAAACCTTACTAACAGTTTTAATATTTCAAAGCCTCAGTACTCCCTTATTTCTCTCAAAATTTAGTTTGAAATACAATAGATATTGTATGTATGTACATGATTAACAACCCATAGTATATCTCCATCCAATTTCTTTAGATAAGAAACGAGTGTACACTATGCATATCATTAAAAAGAGTGAACCTGCTACGCTGAAAATAGTGCCTAAAATAAATTGTCTGTCACCGTTATGGGATTTTTTGTTTTCTATATGCGTATCGCAAATCTATTCCTAGTTCAGATAGTGCTCCAGGTTATTATGGCACTGTCGGCTCCGGCCAGAATCCGGCGGCAAGGAACTTGCTGGAATCGGCGAAAGCTGTGCCAGAATCGAGAAGAGCTGTACCGGAACCGACTCAGATTTCAACCAATCCAGTCGCCGGAATGACCGACTTGGGTGCTGTCACATCAACCGTACAGTGCGAAGTCTCCATAACCCTTTCTGGTCGGCTCGCAGAAGACAACAAGAAAGAAATGTTAATACTGCATATTCTGCATCTTTTATATATGGATGCTACCATATTTCATCCGCAAGTTCAAAGAACTAACACAGAGCTGTTTGTCAACATGTTGCCATTTGGCAACATCTGGCCGTAAGGGTACAAAAAAATTTAAAAAGCCAGTTATTTTTTTTCATAGATGGGCAATAGTTTGGTGATAGTTCTATTCTATATAGTCAAAATAAAGCATACTTAGCTCATATATCTATCTTGTGGAGCGTTATGATGAAGTAGATCTCAATAATGTCAGAAAACTGATCAAAATGTCATAAATTTCAACAATTCCACTATAAATCATTATCTATTTAGGGAGATTCTAATATTATTCAAAACGCATCAGAGTATCTTTACGTAGTCCATCATGCAACATTAAAAATCGTGTGAAAAATTAATCAACAAACGAGTATTTATAGTGGAATTGTTGAAATTTATGACATTTTGATCAGTTTTCTGACATTATTGAGATTTACTTCATCATAACGCTCCATAAGATAGATATATGAGCTAAGTATGCTTTATTTTGACAATATAGAATAGAACTGTCACCAACTCAGGTCAACAAATCCGATGCTGGATCCGATCGGATCTTACCGGATCCGACTAGAAAAATCCCGTCGGTTGTTGCAAATTTTATGAGCGATCTTTCTAGCTATATTCTATGATGACCCTTAGAAAATCCAGGAAATCCATGTTTCGGATCCGACGAGGGATCCGAGACCGTCGGAATCCAATGCGATTCCGTCACCAGGATTTCATCGGATCCGTCGAATTCCTGTAGGATCTGATAAAATTCTGTATTGGATCCGATGGGATCCGAGTATGGGGTTGTTCGATCTGGGAAACTATTGCCCATCTATGAAAAAAATAACTGGCTTTTTTAATTTTTTTCTACCCTTACGGCCAGATGTTGCCAAATGGCAACATACTCAAATTTTGTTATTCGAAAATCCTAATTAATCCATAATATATTCTTAACAGATAATAGGGTTAGAGGCGAAAATTAAGCGCTAGTCACTTCTCATGCACAATGCTTGAATAAGCGATAAGAAGATCTTTTTCATTCGGGAGCTCTTTTGGACGTTTCGGGAGAATTGATTCCATTCGCCAACAGAAGATTACTTCTCTCTAGCAAACACATATTTGTGCCATAGCTGTCATAATATCATTACGCTGGGTATCCAGAGCTGAACGTCTCGATACCCACGAGGATAACCAAATTGACTTCGTCTGCTGATCTGGTTACCCGTTACCGGATACCCAAAGTGTATCTTTTGAGATGTGAGGAATTTGAGTGAATTTGGTCGCACTATCTCGCGACCACAAATCAAAACTACATACTTCTGAACCAGCTTGGTGGTATAGGTATGAGGAAAAACCCGATCTGTAGGCAAAGCACAACATGAGGGTGTGGGGAAAGGTGTGGTGAGTAGGCAAAGCACAACATGAGGGTGTGGGGAAAGGTGTGGTGAGTAGGCAAAGCACAACATGAGGACGCTCGGAAAAGCTTGGTATCTGGACGAAAGCCTTTTAGAATTTTAACTCCAACAACTGATACCTCGACGAGGGCTTCGTATACTCATCAACTCTACCTCAGCAAGTTAGGCGTACAGTACCGAATTACATTCTCTTCTAGATTCTTATATCTCTTACTGTCTCTGATATCATTGAGTGTTTCCATTAGACTCCGGTATTGAACAGCAACTTCTTCAGAGGCTATTCGTCGATAGCCATCTCGTTACCCGTCGGGTATCGACCAAATTCACTCAAATTCCTCAGCTTCTACAGATATAGTCATGGGTATCCATCTCGTTACCCGTCGGGTATCGACCAAATTTACTCAAATTCCTCCGGATTCTTAATATACTGTTGTCGATTTTTAAACGGATACCCGGGGTAATGATATTATGACATCACTCATTTGTGCTAAAATGTGTGTAGTTCCCTTTTCTGAAAGAAAGGGTTATACAGCGTTTAAATGCTGTGTTAAAAAGCTTAAAGTTTGTCTGTCCTATCCAATCAGAAATCAGCATTCCTAAAATCAATGAAATTGATCGATAGTTGCTAGAAAATGATAACCGGTAGGGTAATCGAGGTCGGGGAACTTGAATCTGAGGTTAGTTTTAACTAATTGTTAACTATTAATTAACTATCTACCAACTAGACATAGATTATTAATATACAGGGTAAGGGTTGACCGAAGGGTAATCAGGGTCGAGGATCACGAATCTGAGGTTAGTTTCTCGAAATTCCAATCAGCTAATTCGCTAATTAAGTAATGAAAATTTTCTTCGTTGTTGAGTAAGGGTTGGCCGAAGGGTAATCGAGGTCGAGGATCACGAATCCGACGTTAGCGTTGCTTAATTAATTATTAGTTTTTCACTAACTAGCCACGACTTATTAACATCCATTGTCAGAGTAGACCGAAGGCTTTCTGACGTCGGGAAATTCGAAGTTGAGGGCGAATTTTGTCTTATTCGCTTAGCTTGGGCTTGTTCCTTCCTCTTTACAAAGGAGATATTTTTCTTTATCTGTTCTAAAATCTTTTGTAGAAGATGGTGAGCTGAACGCTATTCACGGACGTCACGCGTACAAAGATAGTAGCTCAAGAACTTACACGAAACGATCTAATGCATTGTACATAATGATGTTTCTAATTCAAGAAATCCGAAAAAGTGATATGAACTTAGTATCATTTTTGCTTTGTAGGCTACATACATCATGTCTTTTTATGGGAATTTAGTAGAAGTAGTTCACAAAGTGATATACCCGTCAGTGGAATTCCATCTTAGTAATTACAGACGCGTAGACTGTAGAAACAGTCTTCTGAACACATGCAGCGCTATGAAAGATGTTCGTTTCGAAGCAAATCATACAATAAGAGTTTCTTATCTAGTTTCTTTTGGTAGTCGAATGAATAGAAGACCATGACTGTCGAAGCGACAATAAAAGAAAACCCAATGGTTCAGTTTGGAAGTTGATCAAAGGCGAAAGGAATAACAGAGACAGCATGGCAACGGCTAGCCGTGAGTGACCGACCGGAGGGAGGTCGACGAACGACTAGACGTTTGATTTGAAAATTACTTGGAAGATGAGATTTATCAGTGTCTCAACTAAAGTCAATGGTTTTTGAACGACCATAATTGATGTGTTTTCGAGCTTCGAGGATAGGGATTGCACATTATCAGCGCTTGAAATTGAACAGAGCAATAGAATATGTACTGTACACTACACAGTTACGAAGGGTTTTAATAACTTCGATCCCAGATCGACTCAGTATCAACGAGCTACTTCTTTATATGGAAAAACTATGAAAACTGATCATGTGCGTCAACGGCTAGCCGTGAGTGGCCGACCGAAGGGAGGTCGACGAACGACTAGCCGTTTAAATGCTAGATTAATCCTAAAGTGTACGCTTAGAATAACCTTGCCAGGCTTCAGATAATTTTGAAAGGGATTTGACGAATGGATATTCCTCAATGAAAATATTCGACAAGGTATCATTTTGTTGACAGGAGAGAAAAGAATCGGATTATCGCTGGAAGACACAAGCGAATGTTCAAACTTTTCAAGTAGTCTACTGTACATCATCCGTCTATGAGTGACTTAGTAAAGCATTTATGAAAATAGAAAAACAGATGACAAAGGTCAATGGTTGGCCGCGAGTGGCCGTCTGACTAGCCATTGAGCGATGAATTTTTCAGTCAATATAGTTAGTGCTGGAGAATTATCCACTGACAAATGGCTAATCGGTCTGATTCCTAAAAAGACTTTTGCATCCTATTTATTCTAGTGTGTGGCATAGTGCCATGATTCAGTTGAGCACTAGTAGCAATCGAAGTGCGTTTTTTCTCTTTCGAAGTCTCTGAATGTGTTCAGCATTCGGAAAAGTCTTTCAGAAAAGGGTCAGCGAATCCAACGGATGAGCGTTACTTGTTATTTATCGAATGGCATGAAAAACTATATCTCTTCGTTTTAAGAAAAAACTTATATTAACATCAGTAACATGTTGCCAAATGGCAACATCCGATCGTAAAGGGATAAAAAGTGCATGGTTTACGTGTATTGATAGAAAAATAAAACGAGTTTATAATCAAACATGATTCTCTACTTGTTCATGTGTATACATGAGTGTAAATAACGTTTAGTAAAAAATAAAACGCGATACAACGATTAATAAGATATAATAAATCGGGGTTGTTAGCCGAGGCCTATGCTATTAAATTATAAAAGAAAAAAAAGTAATATACCTGCTAAAAAAGAGAAAAGGAAATATGAAAATTTACGTACGTATTTGGCATTGAAAGAATTCATATATATTGCAGAAGAAAAGAGAAAAAAATATACGCGCACGCATAGAATCATTTTGCCATAGCGACCGTATAGATCTATTGGAAGGAAAAAAGAGAGAAGTAAAGTACACAAAAATTCAAGCACGTTCACTTTTTTTGAGTAAAGGGTTGCTATAGGTAGTATAGTAACAATGAGTATAGCTAAACACCGGATGACTGTTATAATATTCGAAGATTTTACGCTTTCTTTCATTTTATCTAGATCTGATAACATGGTCGACATTTACGTGGCATGGTATAGCATCTTTCTGGTCTGAATAAGCCAAGAACTATACGTAAAAAATACGTGGTTTTAATTCGTAAAAACTATAATATATTACCGAACAGTTATGCCATGGGAATTTTACTACGTATCAAAATGAACAATACGATTTTATAAAAAGCAGGACAGAAAAATTTTTACTAAAAATAAAATTGTAGAAAGTAGACTGACATCTGTTGACCGATCATTTATGAAAGAGAATGGATTGAATGTAGGTATCTCGCTATATCAACGTGCAAAACTCCGAGTTTACAGAATTCAATGAGCCTATCATTCTCATCTGTTTAGACTTCACAAGGTATTGTGGCATTTATATTTTAACAATCGACTTCATAAACATCTCGCACATAGTTTATTGTCGAATATTCTCAACTTTCCTGACACATTATTACTTTTTTGCAAATTTTCTCACGACAAGTTCTTTTTATGATGTAGTTTTATTTGTATTGTCTGCGGCAGTATCACTTCAAATATCAGAAATCTCCTAGAAGCTTTAACGGCAAGTTTCAAGCATAAATTATGTAAGATGTACATAATCGAAGCAATGAGACTCGCTGCTGTTATTATTTTCTTCGATACGAATCTACGTCAATTCAACTTGGTTCAATAATAATGTATTAGAAACAATCAGATTCACTAAGATAAAGTATTTAGCACATACACGAACGATCTGCGTTAATTTCTTTTTGCTGAGAAAATTAATTTTCAATTAACTTACTTTTCCAAGCGAGAATTTGCTGATTGAAAGAAAGAAGCATAGCTCAGTGCTTGTCCTCTTCCGAAGCTCCCAATTCTGTGAATGTCTGTAATGATCAGATTGAAAAACAAATAAGTCAAACGCCGAAAAGCTAAGTATATTACGAAACATATGTACAGATTATAATTTCATGTTCTTTCCATCAAAGTTTCAGAGTCTAAAGCAGCACTGAATAGAATATGAATAAGCGCGTCGGCGTCGTCGAGATATACCTATAGCAAATATTGCTTATTTCGTTCTAAAATTCTTTTCTTTGTCATTTTAATTGGAATAATAGAAATGACAGTTATATCAGCGTATCAACCAAAGGTAGCGACTCTCTATGCTACAGAACAACAGTTGTTTAGTTCAAGAGTGACCACTCATCATTTGACGGATGGTTCAACTGTTACGGTACATACTATGTCTAGACTTCATTTATACGAAGTTTCTTTTTCTCGTCATCTATCTATTTTGAACTTGGGCATACGTATATATGTGTGTTCGATACGGCTCATAGAACATAGTGCATAAATGATAACAAAACATGCTCACCAACGAGTATCGCTCAAAAGATGTTTACTGATCATTGGTATTTTATTTTTTATTTCTATCATCGTATTTTGGTATTTTTCCGATCATTTACCTCGATATCAATATCAATTTAATCTTGTAGCTGAGTCAACATTACCATCTACGCCAGGATCGACTACAACTGCTGTTATAATTCAAGAATGGTCAATTCAGGATTGGGTTCGACAGTACAACGTAACTCATCTGTTCGATTGGACTTGGCACAAAAATGGTGATTATAAGCGATGTCATATACCACCTAGTTATACTTCGAAATTCATACCTCGAAAACTTACTTCGACAGTTGTCGTTCATGACACTTATGCTTATTTTCGTTCTCATCCCGACGAAGGATGTATTGTAGATAGTGCACCAACTCTACCAAATCCTATTCCTCATCCCGTACCTCGTGCTCGTTCATGGCCTGAAACATGTGCTGCATTGAACATTAGTCATAGTTGGATTCTATGTTTTCTACCACAATCGGAAGTAGGAAAATATCTGCCGACTACGACTCACTTCGTAGCAACAGCTACATTTAATGCATTTGTCGACAAAGGTCACTGTAGTACAGATGTACCAGGCACAGTATTTACCGAACATGCCACGTTTCATCCTCAAGGATGGGTCAATGCACGCTGTACAGTGGATCCTATCACTCGTCTACCACTGATTAAACCTAAAAATCGACACATCGAACTTATTGATTCTCTTGGGGTTTATCTCTCAGCGCCTGGACATTTTGCACCACAGCAACTGCCAAGATTATTACGTTTACTTGCCGTCGCTCCAATGACAGCAAAAGTTCTCGTGGCAAAAGGTGGTGTCGCCGATTTATTGGTGGATGTTCTTGTCGAACGAGGTGTCGTTACACGTGATCGAATCATTCCTTTTGAAAATGGTCGATACGCTGATCATTTTGCCAACATTGTATATCATAGTGAAAGTTGGCCATATCAATGGAATCAAACTCATTCACATCGTCTTCACGATCGAACGGATGTGCAACTTGTCCATCGAGTCCTAGCCGGTGGTGCGGATCAATCATCAACTGAGAAAAGAAACCGTGTTATTCTTATTAAACGAAAACCCGGCCATTCACGAGCATTGATTCAACATGAAGATGTTGCTGCATTTATGAAATCTGAAATCAGTAAATCAAATTTATCATCTACTCTTCATTTTGAAGTTTTTACAGCTCAAGGACATATACGCGACCATATTGCTTTATTTCGTCAAGCACGTATCATTGTTGGTCCCCATGGTGCTGGTCTAATGAATTGCTTGTGGGCGTCGCCACGTACTTACGTTGTCGAAATTGGATATTCCACCGGTATGCTGTTGCCTCAAATGTATGCTGAAATGAGTCTTCATTTGGATCATAATTATTGGCTTTGTAAAGGACGTGGAGATTACGGTTCGCCTATTCATGTCGATATGGAAGATTTTGCGTATATCTTCAATGAAATTCTTCAGGAAATAAAATCGAATAACCAGTTTTAGCGATAGCGATGATTCAAGGATTGGAAAATACAGCCATTAATCCAATGGTAAAGTGCATTTACCTTCATGTATGAGAAGAATAAGTGATAGTGTCGCTTCAACAGTATTGGCTGTAAGGATGACAAATTATGTGTTCGAGTCTAATAGCATAATCATGAGAGAAAAATGACGGCGGACTCTGAAGTACTCAAAGTGATGAATGATCCATCTGCTAATTGTGACGAGATGGACACTGATAAATGTGGTACTGCTGATGAAGAAGGGCAACAGTACTTAGTAAAGTAAGAACTTTATTTTCAACAGTAATAAATTTTCTATTTCGTACTGTTATTAATACAGATATCAATTATTTGGTCCTGCATCTTTGTTCACCTGTCGTCATTATCTGATGACGAATATAATTAAAGAATATGTTACTGAGCATATTCGTTCGTACCTTCAAGAAGTATTTGATCTCATCATCTCAACAGATGTAGTGCACAACGATGTCATAAAGGAATTGCAAACATTTGCTGATAAATATGCTCTCAATCTATATATGTACACGATCGGAGGAGACGTAGAAGAACTCTACGAAATAAAGTCGTCGCTTGTGCTTGGAGATGGGAAAACCTTTTGTGCTTTTCTTGTATACGATCAAAGTCGTCAACAGTTCTACTTGTTCTCTGCACTTGGAGCAGATGCAAAAGAGCAATTCATGTTTCTGATGAACGATCAACAAACTCTGCAATCATTCATAGATATTGTTGTCAGTTACGATTGGTCAGGTGATCAACAAGCTGATACGAAGAAAGACAAATCGCATATTGTGAACAATACTTCCGCTAAAGAAGTAGATATTAGCAAAAGTCAAATGAAATCTGTGCTAGAGACATCAGACTTATGTTATTTATTATTGAACAACGTTCACAGTCTTATTCCTTTTGTTGGATCGCAGCTCGATAACATCACTCATTTCCGCTTCAAATCTTCGGGTAGGAATCGCAATAATCTCATCTAGCACATCTATGTTTTCCACTTAGACTACCAACTAACGGACGACGATCATAAATCACCAGAAGCTTCGAACAAAGCTCTGCAGAAACAGCTTCAACTACTTTCCAAGCTATCGAATTCAGCAGCAGAACTTTTGGAAAGAAATCGCACAACATGTACTTCTGTAGATAGTACTGATGACCTTGTTACCACACGAGATAGACGTAAACAGTACTTTCTTTCTTTGCTTTATCCATCTCAAAATAAATCTGTTTAAACAGCAGCAACAACGATCAATGAAAACATCCTAGCAAGTGCTTCCCGTGGAGAGACACCATTACCGAAAGTACAACTATTGAATCAACCGGCACGCGTTCGCCGCCATCGAAATTTAGAAGAATTGCGTGACGATCATTGTCCTGCAGTACAAATTGAAGGAGCTATCACAGGCAAACCATTGGAATTTCACGTAAATTCATATATATGTACCTGACTGTTCCTATGTAGTGAAATTTTAGCTTCCAGCAGCCATACGTGATCGTTCAAATGTTTTGTATCTTGGAGCTCATGTTACAACCTACGATGGTGCAGAACACGATCAACGAATACCTGTGAGCATGAATATGGCAGTAAAACAAAATTGTAATCTAAAGAAAAACGATCTGAACTGTTTTCAAATTGCTGATAATCAAGATAATAATTGCATATTTGACCAGAAAACCAGAGGTATTTTTTCGAAGATCACTCAGAGTGAAAAGAACAGTCTTAACAAAAGGTAGATTTGTATGATTTTGAAAACAGACCATTTCATTATATGTATTGCATAGTTGGAGTTTTCGAACAGTCAACTTATATCAAGATGATAAAATTACCAAGACAATAATTAAAAGTAAAAAGCTTCAATGGAGTCGATTCAAATTTGCAATCTACATCAAGTCATCGAATGGAGATTTTCAACAAATATCTCCGGTAACTTATTCAGATTTGTTTGTAGAAAGTAAAATATCAATTGTCTATTCGTAATATTTTGCTCATATATGTTTTCATTAAAGCGACTGGCAACGCATCAATAGCAACGAATACGATTTTTCCAATGCGACTCTGCGCAAATGGCGGACAAATGATATTTGTTCCGCTTTCCGAAGCGATGGAAAAAGACGGTAATTTATTCATTCGATCCAAAGTCTCTAATATTCACACTGTAGACATTGTCGTGCAATTGAATGGCGAAAAATTGAATTCAAACAAATTCGCAGTATCAAAACAAATCTTATCTTTTGAATCGCCGGCATGTACACAAAGAACAAATTCTCTCATTATCCAAGTCAACACTCACTCGTCTGATTGCTTTGAAATCTTATATCATCCGCACGAAGACGGTCACCCTGATCCATGCGGTCTGTTAGAGACTAATTGAATAATAAATATCATCTGCTCTACTAGAGAAAGCTTGCCTTTTATCGTTGTGTATTTCAATTGCATGACAATATACTTTTTTTCATTTAAAACATATCGTATAAAAAAAGAGAAACGAATATCAGATGTAATCCCCACACAACTTGTTAAACAAAATAGTACACCACAATGCGATTGTGTCCATGCTGGTGATTGACAAGTGTAAATATTAGGTTTTTTTTCTCTCTCTATGAACGTGATTCTGTTGAACAGACGTATATATTTATAAGTGCTTCATTGTACACGACCACCTAAACTCAAAGAAATGTTATAAGCTGAAAAAATTTATGTGCATTGAATGATTTTATCGCTGCAGTACGGCCATACTAGTTGTAAAAGGAAGAGAAAAAAATCCTTTGGTTGAAACAGGATTAGTAAATAGTAATTATGACAATATTTACTTTCAATGTTAATCGTATAATATCACAGTCATGATCACATTTCCTTCATTCATACAAAAATATGCCATCGGTGCATACGTATTCAAGTAGTCAATAGACGGTATGTATAAAAGTATAGTATAAGACCTTCATTAAAATGCGTACTCAAACATCATAAATCATCAATGTCGATCGATAAATATGATAGTCAAATTGCCTCATATAAAATCAGAGAAAGAAAGAGAAAATAGTGAAAAGAAAACCATGGTTTGATTTATTAGCGACTAATGAATAGACGACACTTACACGTGGTCTCGTAAAATAGACGGCAAAAAAACATTGAAGTTTTCAATCTCGCCTGTTTTGCCGACGTTTGACGTTCTTCAAGTTTTTTTTTAAGATCAACAGAAGAGAAAAAAAAAACTTAGCAACATCTGCCGTCACTCTCTTTTCCTCGTGAAACGCTAATTATACGGTAGGCGTTTTGAATTGTCACTCTGATGTCAGCTTTATTCAAATTTATCCGCTGGCGGGCAAAGTATACGCGTCTTGAAGTGATCGGTTCACTGATACTGATTAGTTTATTTATCAATATATTCTCAATAAATCGATTGTTTCAATGTTCATCTTCAGTGACAACTGTATCGTCTGAATTGAAAACATTAGAAATACATTTGAATACAAAACCAACAAGCACGATTGAACGGTCGAAAAAAGCGCTTGAAAATTTGAAAATCTTACTAAATAGTGTCCTGTCTGCTAACGATCAACCATGGATTTGGTCGCCATCAGCTCAATATCCGTCTGTGCCCTACCAACCAACATCGTTGTTAAACCAAAAGATTCCTAAAGCAATCAATGCAAAGTCGATAGCTCCGCAAGTCGTTCAAGACGAAATTAACCGTGTATGTCGACGATTGACTAGTGTAAATAGTACTGGTGGACAAATCTGGTGTCAATTATTTACCAAATGTTATGCAGATACATTGGCAACGACAGCAAGCTTACTGGATGATAATACAACCTATATCATAACCGGTGATATCGATTTGATGTGGTTACGTGACAGCAGGTACGAACAGAGATATTGAATATCGCATTTAAAATTACTCTTCTCGTTTAGTGCTCAAGTTCATCAATATATGACCTTATCACACGATAAAGACATTCAACGTATCATTGAAGGTCTTATTCGTCGTCAAACACAATTTATATTTGCTAATCCATATGGCAGTTCTTTTCGTTTAACTCTTCGTGCAAATCCTCCATCGGATGATTCTCTTCAACCGGTACATGTTCAAAAAGGTCGCAATATGCGTGTTGCCATGCATAATTACGAATTGGATAGTTTATGCTACTTTCTACGTTTGAGCTACACTTGGTGGAAGCAAACACAACGTACCGATGCATTCGATCGTCAGTGGCTATTGGCTGTTTCGATTATTGTTCAAGTCATGATTGTTGAACAACATCATTCAGAAATTTCGCCATATCGCTATACAGAATTAGGCAATAGTTACCAGGGCTCGCGTGTTTCTTACACGGGAATGACCTGGAGCGCGTTTCGACCGAGTGATGATCAAACGAAATTTGGCTACTTAATTCCAAGTAATATGATGGCAGCCGTCGTTTTAAAACAAGTAACGGAAATGATTAAGACTATCTTTCCTGACCAAACTGAACTCGTGAAACAAGTACACTTTGAGTATTATAAAAAAAAGTCAATCATAAGAAAACCTGCTCCATTTAGATTGATCAACTGCATGCAGATATTCTGTCGGGTATTCACACATATGGAGTTGTTCAGCATGCTACCTATGGTAAAATTTATGCTTATGAAACCGATGGATTCTCTTCACCTCTTCTTCTCGACGATGCCAATGTACCATCGCTCCTTTCAGGCGCATATCTTGGTTTCAAAACAACCTATGATCCTAATGATCAAATATTAGCATCAACACGCAAATTTGTGCTATCCACAGATAATTCGTTGTTTTTTCAAGGTGAATATGCATCAGGAATCGGTAGTCACCATACCCAAGCTCAGTATGTTTGGCCAATGGCGATCATCATGGAAGGCTTTACTAATCACTCACAAGCAAATCTTGATAGCGTTTGGAAGAGACTAGAAGCAAGTCATGCTGGAACGTTTGCTATGCATGAAAGTTTCGATGTTAACAATCCGAAACAGTTTACTCGTACATGGTAAATTCACTTTTTTTTCCTTTAGTTTTCGTCTCTTCTACATCGTACCTGTTTACTTTCAGGTTCGCATGGGTGAACTCGTTGTTTGCTGAACTAGTGTTAGCTCATTTGGATAAATTAGAAAATTGGTTAAACTATCGCCGTTAAAAGTTGTTTAATAAAAAAGATCATATCCGGTTATCAAAGTTTAGTTGAGCTGGATGTTACTTATAGAACAGGAAAAAGGAAACAAGAGGATGTAGCACAAGAAGAAAAAGGAAGAGTGTGATCACTATATTCTGGGCATGACGTATTTTCCCAATGTGCATATATATATATATATATATATATTATATTTTTTTATTAATTATTCTTAACAAGAGAAATATGTACTGATTTAATTGAAGGATGGATTTGCGTAAGTTCTTTTTCGCTACTCATTCATGATGACATCTTTTATTTGATTCACATGAATAAAAATCAACAAGAGAACGGGACAACAGCAATATTGAAATGAAGATTTTTTTTAAGAAAAGGATTCAGAGAGACAGAGTTGATTTTCATTGATGCCATTCTCAGGTTATTTATTTATTTTATTTATTTATTCTTTATCTGACCGCCAAAATCGTGAATATTGCTGCGGTCTCTCTCTCTCTTTCTTTTCTTAGCTTCCAAACTTGATATTTATCTTCCTCTAGAATACAAATAAAAAGAAAAAAACAGACCGAGTGAAGATAGTTGTCTTAAGAAGATTTTATTTACACTAAATACGGATCCATTTCAGCTGAATATGGATACGATTTAACTTTTCGAGCTTCGAGCATTTGATTGATATAATCAATAGCAATTGGACCTTCAATTGAATTTCGCCATCGTTTAGCAAATCGTGACGAACACACTTGTCTAAAGATTGCAAAGAGAACTATTAATCATGGATATATTCTCCATAAAGGCATACGAAAGTTCATTCAGTCGAATAGTTGATTCTGTTTGGCCGTCATCTCTGTAAAGAAAAAGAAACGGATGTCTTAATTAGAAACTTCGACAAGATACAGACCGTTTCGCTACTTGTTCGCATGATTCAAATAAGTTGAATGCAGGTGCTTGCCCATGTTCTTCGATGAAGATATTGATAAAATTTGACATTTCTTCGGAATCTTTGGAAATGCTGTGCCAATGAACGAATAAATACAAGAGTACAAACATATGTTGACTAGTTTCGATTACCTGCACAGATAGGCGTGAAAATCCTCCTTTGTCGCTCCGGTTTCTGTTCCACTTTTTATCTGTGATTGTTGTTGATGATGATGATGAAGTTTAGGACTAGTTGACAAAAAACGATTCATGTCTGGAAAAGGTACAGCAAAACGTTTCTCCCTAATAATCAAATTTCAATGTCAGGCTCATCACAACAGACAAAAAGGACAAAACTTACCGTGATGAATGGTCCGTTGTTTCTATGTTGGAAATGTACGAGCAGAGACGATTAATTTGGCTAGGCGATAAATTATCAATACTAGAACAATTTATTACGTTACCATCATCAATGGTCAATATTTTTCTCATGATGAATATTTACTCGGAACTGACAATCATTGGGTAACTGTGAATTGAAAATAGGACTGTTGATAAAAGGATTAGTAGTAAAGGTGAAAGAAAAGAAATCATCACGATATCAAAGTCAAGGATACAATCTGGAAAAGAAGAAAAAAGTAAGAAAAAAAAACAGAAACATGCATATATATAATAATAATTTGTTTATTTGATTAACGTATTGTAGTATAAAAGACATAAATCCATTGAAAATCAACAAAACATATTCCCGTATGTGGTCTGCTCGTTCAACATCATAATTTTCTTTTTCCTGCGTTTTTCTGTCTACTATTCAATTATTTATCTGCTCCGCCTCAACAAAGTCAGCCGTTCGTCCTCAATGATAGCACGTTCGTGCATAATTCTAGTCTTACTAATAGTGTTCGTTAGCAATAACCAAGAGAATAATTGTTTTTCAATCAGTGTTGCCTTGACGTCATCTTACCTGATAGAAACAAAATTGACATCCGAGAATGAGTTCGTTCCGAGTTCAAATCTTATATATATATGTAGATGTACACGCTATTGAAAAGCAAATTCTTAAATAGATATGTAAAACATCGAGTGAATGCTTTCCTTTGTGCAACGATGGAAATGCGGAACATATGTTCATTTCCATTTAGACTAAAAAAAGCCCAATGTCGATATATTCAAATTGCGTTACAAATCGGAACGTCATGCTGGTTAAGAATGAAAATACATTTAGCATCCTACGCTTTAGTTTGAAAAAACAGGCATTGGTTTCCTTTTACTGCGTTCATTCATTTCAGCTGATTATGTACTGAATAGAGATGATTTTTATTTCTAATGAAATCAAAGAGAGGGAGAGAGAGAGAGAGGGTAGATTTGTTTTTGATACTCTTAATTAGATTTTAATAATAAATGAGTATGGTTTTTGTAAATGTAGCACATCTGCGTTTCATGTAATTCTATTTTCGAAAGGTCAAGCTGTTAGAACAGGATTAAGATCTAATACTGCATACTCATTAAAGTCATGCAACGGTCGACTTCGTGTTAAATACTCGTCCGACGTTAAATTTCCTTCATGCGTAATTGTTTTTCCTTCACCGCCGAACAATTCATTCAAACCGATCTGATTGTGTAGAAATGCTCGAACGTGTAACAATGTTGGTGGTTCTTTCAAATTGAGAAAACGATTTAGATGCATGAAACCGTCAGATTTTGGCCCGAGATAATAGTTTTTAACAATAATATATTCAGGGTCAATATCTTGGAATGTTCTTTGCTTCAATTCATCAGCATAACGTATCCAAACAGCAGAATCAATTTCAGGATAGGCTTTTGTCAGCAGATCAAATATATTATCCCATGTTGCTAATTTAACTTCATCAGATGGTGCAGAGAAAACTATCAATTTAAATTTATGCTGTTTTCCTAATTGGCAACGAATCCATTCGGGTGTATGCCCTATATAAAGTAACATGTCTAAATGAGACATTTTGAGAAGTCGACGAAGTGTCTTATGATCAAATACCCATGAAAGACGTTTAGTGGGATCGTGTGACAAACGAGAAAAATCATCTTCTTTTACACCGCGTGTGAGACGACCATACATATTCGTCAAATCGCAATCTTCTGGTAAAGAGTTCAAACCGGTTTTAAAAGCATTAACATACGTATTCATCTTATTCTAGAAAATATAGATTGCTCTGTTTTAGAACGATATTCATTCAGTTGCGAAATGGTCACGCGGTGCTAATTAATTATAGATCGAATTTACATTTCTTTTTACAACACTCGTTGATATTTGTAACTTCTTCCGATCATTGATCAAGTCTCGTCGATTGCATGTAGACTCACATATCCTATTGTATCTTTCAAGATGTCACTACTCATCATGATTAATAAGAAAGTAAAAAAAAACAACAGCTTTCAATCCCCTAGAGAAAAATATATAATAGATGACAAGGATATGATTTCTCTTCAAAGCCAAGGGAAAAACGGAGTGCAAGAAAAGTAATAAGAACTTTTTTTGATTAATACGCGGATATAAATACATGTCAGTAATACTGTTACCTGCCATTTCCATTTCTTATATCGCGTGGTTATATAAATAAGAATATATATAGAAGATTTCACAACGTATCAAACTCATGGGCCAGAAATATTCACGACCCGAACCGTGTTATCACGGCTATGGTGATCAACCACCTGCCAAACGGCCATGTATATGTCGTCGTCGATCTTCGGGTTTACTATTACCACGAGGTTCTAAACCAGATCTGTTTCCTCATTATCAACGACCAAAACAACGTCGGTGATGATCTTTTCATGTTATCACTTTTTTGTTTTAGTTAACATGAATTCTAATAAAAGATCTCATTCAGAACAAATCTATCTCTTGAAAAGGCATCTTTTCTATTCTACATTTCCATGAATACTCCTTAGGGAATGTTGGCCATAAATACATCAATTAGTTATGGTTGCTAAGCGACGATCACCAACTTATTAACTCCATCTATACGAAAAAATGACTTCTGATGATCTTGTTCATAATTTTAATTTTCTCGTTATTTTCTTTCAAATTAATCTATTTTTGTTGAGAAATATTCATGATCATTTTCTAGTGAGTCATTTCCATTTATATATGTACTCCTCTATACTGTAGGTTATCTTTAATATTCATTTGATCTGATCATCTTGTTTTTATCCACGGCCACATCACGATAATACAATACGAACAATGTCTGTCGGTCAACGAAGTATTTTAGACACAATTGCTGCTGAAGGCGTTCATGTAAGCTTAGAGAGAAAAATGATCTGTTAATTATTATTCTTCTCTTCGTAGTTCGCACTATGGTCTTCAATTATGAGTGTCGGTGGTGGTTTAGGAGAAATCTTCGTCAATCATGATGCTCGTATGCATATTGCCGGTGAACACGCTATACCAGAACTTCTCGAAGCACACAAACGATCAAAATATTTAACAAACTTGATGTTACTTGTCAGCGGTGTTTCCGGTGCATTAGCCTACCAACAAACAAAAGATAACTATTGGCTTATTGGTTCAGGTTTAATGCTCGGTAAAATCTTTCTGAATTTTTCATGTCTGTACCTATAAATTCTATCTGATTATTTAGCTGGTATCCCATACTGTGCACTAGTCGAATATCCAGTTGCTGAACAACTCAAATTCTTAACACTCGACGCTAAATCGGAAAAAGCTCGTACGTTACTCGCTTCGTGGGGTGGTATTCAACTTGGTAAACTCGCATTAGCTGTCGGTGGTGCCACAATTTTCTACTGGTTCGCTCGCCGTTAAATCGATTTACAAATGATCGAATTTTTATCTAATCCAGCGTATTTTGTCTCACACTATTCTTTTTTTTATGTATTACTATATATATCCGTGCAGTATAGATCTTTGTTAAAAAATATAAAATATTAGAAAAGGATTTCAGTCAAAGTAAAATATAGAATGTAATAAACAGACACCACACTGACGAATATTGTAGATACGAAAATATCCATGACGGAAGATCTACTGATTGGTATACGAAATTTTATTCAGCCGTATTTACCATTATTAAATACTCACAATGTTGATTATTTAACGCGTGATCATTGGACTACCTATGTACCAGATTGGGTTCGACAAGCAGAACGAATGAATCTTTATCATCTATTTGAACAACGATATCAAGAGTGTTCACCAGCACAACATCGACTGGAAGAACTAATTGATGATATTGTCGGATGGAAGAAGAAAATCGAACAAATTACTTACACACGAGAAAGATTTCAAGATGAAGTTTTGCGAAACAAAGTTCAGCCCAAGCCATACCTCTGCACCAGTCGAACATTTATGAGTCAGAAAAAAGAACATGAAGTAGAAATTTTAGCTCCAGTGATTCATCAATTGGCGAATATGGCTAAGGCGGAAGCGGTTATCGATTATGGAAGTGGCCGTGGCTATTTAGGTGTACAGATTTCTCATGATTATGAACGAAATGTTCTTGGAATTGAATCCTGTGAGGCCACTGTTCATAGTGGTGAACGACGAGTGGAACTTTTAGCAAAACATCAGAAGGAATCAATCGACGAACCCAAGTACAGAACGACATCAACTATAGTTACAAGTGAAACAAATTTTGAAAAACTATTCTATCAAACATTCCATTCTCATTCGTCATCGTTTCTTCTCTGTGGTCTTCATGCATGTGGATCTCTCTCATGTTCACTTATTTATCACTTTGTTGAAAAATCAAGTGTACGCGCTATCGCCAATGTCGCATGTTGTTATCATTTATTAGAAGAAAAATTCGTACCGAATCCTTTCACAAGTAAGCAATGACACATTAACAAAAATGACTCATCCATGATTCTAGAACATTGCAGCGAAAATGATCCATGTAGCTTTCCATTGAGTCACCAGTTAATCAAAGAAAAAACAAAATTGGGGCGAAATGCACGCATGCTTGCCGTGCAATCGTTTGAACGAAATAAAGAAGATGAAGTAAGAAGCAACAAAAATCATATTCACATTTATTTTCTTTGACTTATAGACGTTGAATGCCGGTTTATGGTACCGATCATTGATGCAAGTTATTCTTATGGAAGTTTATGGACTGACAACGGGTTTAGAAGATATTAAGCTAGGTAAAATCAATCGCCGACCATTGACATTCGAAGGATATGTTTGGAAAGCATTAGAAAAGCTAAAACTAGACAAAACAAAAGTACAGTTTCTTATTGGATGGGAACGATAAACGATGTTTGTATGTAGATCACGTCGGATATTATTCAAGATTACTGGAAACGTTATGAATCTCAGCAACCTCAATTGCATACATTCGTTCAACTAAAAGTTCTGTTTTCTGGTTTAATTGAAATGATGATTCTACTCGATCGACTCGTTTTCCTTCAACAATCTGTTGGTTTCCTTTTGTTTCAGCTGAATTTTCTCCATATTTTCATTAAATTCTTTATTTTTCTATTTAAGATTCCATCGGCGTCATCCTATCTAGTGGCACTTTTCGATCCAATTAAATCACCACGTCGTTGGTGCTTAATTTCAATAAAACCAAACGATCAGTCGGAATGAATTTTATACTTTTTTGTTTTCAATTTATTTTTCAGATGGGTACACCTCAGCGAGACGTGACTATTGATTACGCAACTGCACAAAAAGAACTTCTAATCGAAAAACATTGCGCGTTTCTGACTGGTTACGGTCAATCGCACAGTACATATCAATATGGCGTCACCGATTATCTTCGTATGAGTGGAATATATTGGCTCTGCACGTGTTTGGATTTACTTCATTCACTAGATAAGATTGATCGCAACTATATTGTGGATTACATACAGAAATGTCATGACAAAACAACTGGCGGATATGCACCGGCTCCCAATCATGATTCGCATTTATTGTATACATTGTCAGCAGTACAAATATTAGTTCAGTTGGATCGTGTTGATATGATTGATAAAGAAAGTTTATGTTCGTATATAAAACAACTACAACAAGAAGATGGCAGCTTCTTTGGTGATCAATGGGGTGAAATAGACACACGTTTTTCTTTTTGTGCCATTGCATGTTTGAAATTAATCGATTCATTGCATACTGTTGACATCGATCGTGCAACAGATTTTATTATGAGTTGTTTGAATTTTGATGGCGGATTCGGTTGTATACCTGGCGCTGAATCACATGCAGGACAGATCTACTGCTGTCTCGGATTTCTATCGCTTGTTCAACGTCTCGACAGAATAGATTTATCGACAAGAAACATGTTAGCATGGTGGTTATGTGAACGACAATTGGAAAACTCCGGTGGATTGAATGGTCGACCCGAAAAGCTACCTGATGTTTGCTATTCTTGGTGGGTTTTGGCATCGTTGAAAATCCTCGGCAAACTTCAATGGATTAACAGTGAAAAACTAAGTAAATTTATTTTAGCTGCGCAAGATGATGAAACAGGTGGATGTGCTGATCGACCCGGTAATATACCTGATCCATTTCATACATTATTTGGTGTTACCGGTTTATCTTTACTCAAAGTTTTCGATGAGAATACAATTAAACAAGTCAATCCAGTTTTATGCATGCCTGAATATGTGATCCAACGACGAGGAATTACAATGCAATTACTATAGATGTTTTATTTTATTGTTTTCTTTCTCTTTCGCCGTTTTTCAAAAAACAAAAAGCACGTTCCACAGGAATAAATTCAGTTCAAAAATTTTAACCAATGTTCGTGATATGCAACCGCTCGGAGACATTTCACGTCTACGTCAATGCAAAATAATCCTTGCTTAGTTGTACAATCTCATAAAGTCATTGTTATCACGTCTGTAACATTCGTTGGGAATGGCTCTTTGCGTATAACCTTGACAATCTATACGATCTCAATAACATTTGATTACAATCACGTACTGACCATGAAAGGCTTACTTTCGCTCGATCTTTCTCTCAATCGAATGTTGTTGACATCTCAATATCGAGAAGAAAAGAAAAAATTTATATCTGCGTATTTTAATTATCAAAGGTTAAAAGTATTAATCTATATACGTAGCTCGAATACGAGACTTCTTTTATTGTTTCATCTATCATTAGATTAATCCCGTTTATAGGCCGATTTCAACCATACAAACATAGACGCCGTGGATTCCCTAGCATTTTTTTGCATCGAAATTTTGTAATCCACAGACATATAGACATAAATATAAAGTACAGTGTCGTGACTTTTTTGTCAATGAAAGATGAAGAAGTAAAGAGAGGAAAAACAATAAGACCTTCATCTGAGGAGGCGAGCATTTGACAAGAAACTGTTAATCATATATAAATATCTGTGAAAGATGTAACTAATCGTTTGATTTTGTGCCTCCTCGATCATATCATCAATAACAATAACAAGACAAGCTTTTGTGATGCTATTCATAGTGATTGCAGCACTTTTGAGCCATGGTATCTATGGATTACCAGCAATCAATTTTACAGATAGTGCCGTACCAAAGGAAATGATTAAAACATTGAGCGAAGCTCTTGTAGCTCCAACTGAACAACAAGCAGGTCAAGTTGATCCCAAAGGTAGGCATCTTTTGTTTTAGGAGAAGAATCCATCTATCGTATTGATTTTTACTCTAGGATTTTACTATCCATATGCATATCAAAATGTGAACTGGTACAACTTTCCTTATTTATGGCCTGCTGTTGCTGGTGGTCTTCTTGACCCAACTGCACCATTTGCCGGTCTCGGTGCATCACTGACAGGTTTGGGAACTGGTTGTCCAACGGGTCTTTGCCCATCTGGTGCTACCTGCTCGCAACTTTCGGGTCAATGGCAATGCGGATGTGGCCTCAACGGTTGTGTCGGAGGTATGTGAGCTATGTTTATTTATTTATCTATTCATTCATTCAGTTTTATTAGAAAGTTGTAAATTATTAAATTTCATTAGGAGAGATGTTTCTTTTTCTCGGAGTTTTTCTTGAACATTTTCGTTATGACGAGTGAGATACTCTTGGGAGACTTCTGCGAAGATTTGTTGGATTTGTTCACGTGTAACGTTTGGATATTGTCGACTGATATTATCGATCATGCCGACCAGATCAAAACTGGGCTCTTCAGCTGTTACCGTTGTTATTAGTGATGAATCTTGTGTAGTTTGATCGTCGGTTCCTGTTTCGTTAATAGTTGGAATTTTTAGAATAACTTCACGATGAACAGAAGCTGGCAATGCTTCAGTCAGTGGATAAGGAAAGAGTGGCTCTTCGAATAGATGAAAATCGATCTAGAAAACACGATAAAAAATTAGCGTCCTTGATGAAAAAGAGAGTGTCTTTACTGTTCTTGTTTCTTCGATGTTTTCAATTTCTTCTGGTTTTGCTTCGAGTAATGTTTCATACAAACGACGATGTTGAAAAATAATTTGAACAATATAATCGATCACTTTCGGATACAGATGTGCATTGAAAACCACTGGTTTCTTCGCTGATTTTTCTCCCATTAAAATCGAACATGAATGTATGAATGCTTCGTTCAATTTTGTTGGATTAGTTTTATCTGTTCGTTCGATTTGACATAGTAGTCCATGAAGCAATGTAATCATACAAATTGTTTGTTTCGGCGTATAATCTGCACGAAGTAAATCATTTAGGAACGAGGTATACAGATCGACCAGTGCTTCATCTCGATACGTCTCACGTTTGAAGAATGTATTAGAATTTACTTTAAGAATATGGTCGAGAACAAACTGCTCTAATTGAACAGGAAGTGGCGAATTTCCTTGATTATCATCAAATAATTGCTTTAATTGTTCCGCTGTGATCAGAGAGTGTGTTACAAAATCATTAATAGCTTGCAATTGAAGGAGATTTATATCCGCAATCGCGATAAACATTATTTTACGTATATTCAAATGTTTCTTTCTTCTTTTTTCTATTCTTCTTTTCGTTGTTGTTCACCAAGGTAACTTGACGGAGGCTGAAAATGCTTGACTAATGTCGTTTTCTCTTTTCTTTCTTTTAGTTAAAAATCCTTGCGGCATCTATGGTCGATACTACTTCCCATACTATCCTGATGCTTCGCGATTTATTCAATGCGACCAGACAGGCGTCTTCTGGATTCGTAAATGTGCGCCAGGTACAATCTTCGATCCGAAGATCGGCGTCTGCAACTACCCACCGGTCGTTGTCGAAACAGGCAAAAAATAAAACCAAAGAGAAGATTAACTTTACAAATGAACATTTTCCCGATTTTTCTTCCATTTCTTTTTCGTATCTTTTATTTTTTTCGAATAAATTTCAAAATAAAATGTAGAGTCATAGTTACGACTGAAAATATATCGTAGAAATCATACGACCGTATGCGACCTACTTCTAATTAAATCACAGAAGTGAAACACAAAGGAAGAGAACACTATATTCTCTTCATTTACATTCATACATTTGGTTTCAGAATCGATAAAAAAAGAAATCCAATAAATTTATATTTTTCTTCTGATTGAATGTGAAATTTTGATAATTAATCAAGAGAGAAGTTTCTCTTCACAGATGTCGTACGACCAATCAATTTCAAATAGAAACCAGACCTCTGCTGGTATTGTTTATCTACCATCCACCTATCAGCCAGAAACATTTCCAATGAGAAATGAATACCATCAACCGTCCCTGTCAAGTCATCCGAGTCTGTCATTCAAAAACAATCGAGTAGCACCACCACCACCGTATTCTCAAGATTACAATGCGTATGGACAGGCAAATAACTGTACGTATTAGGTCAATTGAATATCTGTATGAAATCTTTTCTTTTTCTTCCACCATTGAAAGTTTATGGAACTCCAGGATCGACTACACCAACAAGGCCACTGATTCAGACAACGCGCATGCATCCGCAGAGGCAATCGACGCTCCCATCGGATAATCGTGATGCAGATGGCATGCCGGTGAGAATAAAAAAGGCATTTTTGTTCGAAAGATAACGACAATTTTTAGACATCATGGTGGTCGCATCGGTTGTGTTTTGGTTTGACACGTTTAAGTGGAGCAATCCTATTTGGTACAATGATAGTTTTAGCTGCTGTAAGCATCGCCGGTCTAATCACGACAGTAGTATTATATGTCAATGGTAAACAGAAATCAAAGGACTCTTTCAATTTCATACTGCATTATTTTGATATTTGTAGATACGACATCGGATCCACAGTGGAAAATTCTAGGAATGGTTGTCTGTGCCGTTATGTTAATAACAGTTATTACTACCTTCTTGATTTTTATTTACTGCTACAAAAATGGACACATTCATCTGTATGATAATCAAAGTGATCCGGTCTCATCAGAAAAATTTCAAGGAAGTAATTCAAGACTAGGCTACAACGATCAAAAGCCGAGGAATGATGCAACAATACCGTCTTATCACCATCCACCAGGAAATAGTTTCCCGCGATCAGATAACTATAATAATCAACCCTATAATAGATATGGCACGAATAGAAATCCCCCTTCGGCATCTCCGTATGAAAATGTTGTTCCCGTCGAAGACAAACTAACTAATACAGAAAATACCATTTCTCCTCTACGACACAGAGATTACAAACGAGGTGTTTGGCCAGCACCGAATGCTTATGGTGGTATATCACATCGATCAAAGGAACCACCAAGAATGACACACCGTGTCACCCAAGCATTGCCAAATGATATTGATCAGTCGATGTCTCAACGAAGAAATCTGCCCGTCAAATTAAATCCATCATCGATGAATCGGCAAGCATTCGGTGGTCGCGCAGCGGCACTGCAACCAAACTATGAAGTCATTGAAGAAATCTACGAAACATCACGAAAACAAAGACCTGACGATTATGTCGAATACATTGAACCGCCTAAGCAAAGACGTGAGCAACCGGGTGTACATTTATCAAAACCAAGATATGGTGATGTTGTTGTCAGACATGTGAAAGTATTCGATGAAGCAAATGGTGACGAAAACGGTTTTAATACTGATCATTTTTATAACTAAATTTCAAATGTAATTTTTTTCCCTTTTATTAAATATACATAATACACACAGAAATCATAGTCCGGGAGCGCACGTTGTGCATTGCATCATCTTTAGCATTTGATCTGATGCAAGGTATAACTATAAATTGTTTTTGTCGTTTTTTCCTCGATTCATAAAAATATTTATTTATGCAAGTGCAAATGGCTCTAGCTCGTGTAACTCAGCGTCTTTTCGTGCCTCGTTTAGCAAAGATCGTAGGTAGCCAGACTGGTTCAACACGGCATTTTTTCCATCGTCATCATTATCATAAATATCTACCGGAAACATCTTTCGCACCTATGGCCAACGTGTTTCAACGTTGGGAGAAAGAATTTGAACGGATGCAGAGTCAATTTAACAAATTCTTTCAAGATTCAAAAGTCGATCGTTCTGCTATGGATTTGACATTTGATGGCAATAATAAACTGTCTGCAACAGAGAATGATTTGATTATTACAGAACCAGATGGCTCAAGAAAATTTCATCTATCTTTGAATACACATGGCTTTGGACCAGAGGATATTAAAATAAAGGTGCAAAAGGGTTCTCTGTCAGTTTCAGCAAAGAAAGAGAAAAAGGTATTGTCCTGCTTTTTTATTTCTTAACACACTTTTTGCTGGCTGTTTGTATATAGGGAACAAACGGTTACTCTCTTCATGAATTTTCTCAAACATATTCATTGCCAGAAGAACTAAATATCGATCAGCTCAAATCAACTTATGCAGAAAATGGCATTCTTGTCATCGAAGCACCATTACCCGAGGCAAAGACTAAAAATCGTCAAATTGAAATCGAACGTATTAAATAAAAGTCGATCGTATGACGCACGACGACATCTTTCATCCTCTATTCATACAGGACAAAGACCTAACCTTCTTCTGCTTCTCGTTGACTGAATTTCGCACCAATAAAATATTCCTTATTACAAAATTACAACATTCGCGTTTGATTGTCTCTTTGACATCTAAATCTCTTCGCTTTTTTTCTCGTAATTTAATGTGAGATGGCTTCAAAAATCTTCACACCAACAAACCAAATCCGTTTAACTAATATTGCTACTGTTCGTTTGAAAAAAGGTGGAAAACGCTTTGAAATTGCTTGTTATCGTAATAAAGTTGTTTCATGGAGAAATAAAGAGTAAGTTAGATAGATGTATAGATCTCTACTACGTTATTACTTATAGAGAAAAAGATCTGGATGAAGTTCTGCAAACCCATACGGTTTTCTCCAATGTATCGAAAGGTCAAGCAGCGAAAAAAGAAGATCTCATCAGTGCATTCAATACCGATGATCAAACGAAAATTTGTCTCGAAGTAAAAAACGAAATCGATCGAATGAAACTTGAAAGGATATTTTGATGTTTTCAGATTTTAGAGAAAGGTGAACTGCAAGTCTCGGATAAAGAGCGAACACAACATCTAGAAACGACTTTTAAGGAAATTGCTTCTATTATCAGTGGCAAATGCATTAATCCAGAGACTAAACGTCCGTATACAATTTCAATTATTGAACAAGCAATGAGAGATATTCACTATAGTGTGAATCCAAATCGTAATGCTAAACAACAAGTAAAAGCCATGAGTTCTCTTTCGTGACATTTTATTCTTTGAATATGTTAATTAGGCACTGGATGTGATTCGACAATTGAAGCAATCCAATAATATTCCAATTCAACAAGCACAAATGCGTGTACAACTGACAGTGCCAGGTAGAAATATCTAATGAACTTGTTTTTATCTGAACTAAAACTGAGTTTTCCTCTAGCAAAAGATGCCAAGAAATTTAAAGAAAAAATGACCAAACTATCAACAGCACCACTTATTGATAACGAAGAATTCCTCGGTTCATCCATGCAATTGATATGTTCTATTGATCCAGGTGTTTTTCGAGAATTGGATGATCTATTGAGTAGTGAAACACGTGGACAAGGTCAGCTGGAGTTATTAAGTTTAATGGACGTTGCTGAAGGAGACGAAACTTTCAGTGATTTACATGATGAAAAAACCGAACAGTAAAAGTAAAGATTTTATGGTTGTTTTATGAACAGAAAGTTTAATCAAATAAAAATCATATGATCACCGAAGACAGAAAGATTCCTATAGCAGAGAAGCGTTTCTTTCATCAAAATGAGGTCATTTATGATTGGTATTGTCATGCCTAGAAGTAAAAATGATCCCATATGAATTAAATTGTACTTTCATAACATCATCATTTTCACCTGAAACAAGCACTTTATCTTTTGAAAACATGTGTCATCCTTCTTTTCGCATAGTCATTCACAACCAGATTTTGAATAAAAACATGAATATTTCACCTGCATATACGACTTTGTTAGCAAAATGTTTGAGTACAAAGTAACGTTTTGTCTTATATTCATATCTCTCTACGCTTATGCTCATGGCTCTAAATTCAAAAAGTCATTTTCCTCGACAGATGATATTCCTATATGTTCAACAACACTACGATCCTCACCGAAATTTCGTCTTCAAGAACAATACGACATAATTATACTTGGAGCAGGCGCTGCTGGCAGTATTATCAGCGCGAAACTTGCTTCGAATTTAAACAATATGAGTATATTACTTGTTGAAGCAGGTGTAGAAACAGGAAACAATGATAACGAGAATATTACGAATCCAGCTTTGTGGTTGTATGTAGTACACAATGATACGCTAGAATGGCGTTTTCAAACTGTTCCTCAGACAGCATTAAATAATAGAGTTATCGATCTGGGATTTGCGAAAGGTACGGGTGGTGGTGCTATGCACAATGCTATGGGATACGTTCGAGGAGGACAGAAATGGTAAGATATATCCGCTAGAGATCAGATTCATTTACCAGTCAGAAATATATTCTATTTAGGATGGATGCTTGGGAATTAGATGAAGGCGCAACCAATTGGAATTCTGAAACATTAACACCTTATTTTGATGCTGTAGAAGATATTCTGAAAGTTGTCTACCCCGCAAACGACACACAGGGTCTAGTCGATGCTATTTTCGAAGCGTCCAGAACAGCAGGATTTCCCTATAATCCATCATATAATCATGGACCAGACATGCTTGGTATTGCTAACTTTGTCATGAGTATCAATGATGTTGACAAGACAACGAAACAACGAGCAAGGGATCCACATTATACCCGCGTTACTTCCTACCAAAAATATCTAGAAAATTATATACCGTCCAATCTACAGCTTGTGACTGGTCTTCAAGCTATTGGTTTTAATTTTAGTGATGGAGAGGTTCCTGTTGTAGATTATGTGGAATTATATAGTGAACAACATCAATGCAAATTTTCAATTGCAGTGAAGAAGGATTTAATTTTGAGTATGGGAGCTATAAATACACCTAAGTTGTTACAATTGAGCGGTATTGGTAACGCAACTCACTTGCAATCGTTAGGTATTAAAGTTGTAAAAGATCTTCCAGGTGTTGGCATGAATTTACGTGATGATGTCGTTGTCAACCTAGTTTTTAAAACCACTGCTGTCGAAATTGATAGTCCACCTGCCTCTTTTCTAAGTGCAGTCTTATTTGCGGTCGATAATAGTACAGCACAAAGCGTGTCCTATCGAAACGGAACTGGTTCATTAACAAATATCGAAATGCTGTTTAGCACAGGAAATATGATTGGAAATTCGTGGCCTATTGAATGGCAAAATTCAATAGTTCTATCACCTAACATTCAACAATGTAAATCGCGTGGTACAGTTATGATAGAAAGTCTAGATCCATTGGCATTTCCTACTATCGATCCAGCTTACCTTACTGTTGACACAGATTTTGATCGAGTGCTCAATTCTATCGTACTTGGACGCGAATTATTATCGCAACCAACTTTCTTCAAATGGAATATTCAAGAAGTTTTACCTGGTCCAGATTATACTACTCGTGATGAATTGATAGAATGGATTCGTACTCATGCCACAACAGGCTTTCATTATATTGGTACATGTAAGATGGGAACAGATAAACTCTCCGTAGTCGATCCACTCAATATGAAAGTTCGGGGAATTGATGGTTTGAGAATTATTGATGCTTCTGTCGCTCCCGCATCGTTCTCTGCCAATACTCAATCGCTAACGTATGCAGTAGCAGCACGAGCTGTGGATCTTATTCTAGCAGAATATAACATTAGAAAATAAATTCAACGTTTATACTTGAAGCGCTTTGTTTTAGAAAAGTTCAAATAAATAAAACTATCACTTATCTTCTACTAAGAATTTGAATGAATATTCTAAAACTTGATTTACTCGATCAATTGACCGTCGATAATATTTTTGGAGAAATTTTAACCTTTAGCAAGAATAACGAGACTATTGTAATGAGAGAAATAATAACTATTCCCTATTTTTCCTTGTCAATTATCGTTAGTCAAGAAGTAATAGCATCATTCATGGTATGGATTCTGTACCATTTAATTGGGCATCCAAATATTTAACAACGCTGTAATGAAATAGTTGTACAACAGTTTCGTCCTTTAAGATACTAGCCAAAATAATGTTCTCACTATAAATAATAGAAGATCGATTCTTATGAAGAAAATATATGGAAGTTGTTGTTGATTTTTAAAGACTATATTTATTTTAGACCTAGAAAATTTCATGACATACAGATTATCCAGAATCTGACCAGCCACACCTCTTGCTGCTAACATACAAATCAACAGTTACCTGTTTTTTTTTCAACCGATCGTAACGATGGTGAACATATATTTATTCTCCACCGAATTATTATCTCTCTCGATGATTATGTAAGATAAGAGCTATTTTTATTATATATAGAGATATTCCGAAGTATTCAGTAGATTTCATCGTTCTATCGTGTACTGAATGTTTGTCTCACTCTTTTTCTCGGTCGACCATAATGCATACGCGAAAATTCTCTTTCATGAAAATATTCGTCGCCCCAGGCACAGTTTGACATAGCTACTCGAGAGTTCTAACGTTCATCATTGGATGCAATATTGTTCAAGTATTTTCCACAATAGTGCACTTTCGTCGAATAAGTACGCAAGTCGAGATATCGATGATCTCGTCGTTTGCGATAATGCACAGCCCAGTATGATTGATTGGTATGCATATCATTTCAAAAGTAATAAAATAAACATGCAAGCATTACTGAAAACAATAGAATATCGACGTCATTGTTTCTCTGTAATAGCAAAAAAATCAATCTCATATTCTTTTAAGCAAATTAGCTAAGCGCGTGTGTGTGTGTGTTTCTCTGCTCTTCAAAGAGTTTGAGAATAGGTTGCACATTAATTACTTCGAAATGCAGCACAAAAAAGAATTTCAAAAGGTTTTTTGTCTTTTACCTCACCACCTTCTCGTGCTATGAATCGGCTGAAAGACTGCGTCCTAGATTTCGCTTAATACTGCCTCTATTTATAAATCTTGCTTGTCATATGAGAGACGTGAACTCGTGGCTGTTATATGTAAGATCTAGTATGCAATATGTCACCCGAGAGAAAAGCTTGTGCCTCGTTTTATGTATTCAAAATACACAGCTTGAATTTATTAAATGGAACTATTGTTGTCTTTTGTATCCAAAAATGTTTCACCATATTCAGCTAAACATCTTCATTAATTATTTATTCCTCTGGCCAATCATCATAAAGAGTACTCTTTGCTTTAACTAAATATTTTTACGAAGATTTCTCTGAAAAACAATAACATTATGTACTTATGCCATTGATCTTTCTAGTCATCTGTACGTGATATAGTTCGACTGTAGTAAAAAACACGTTTTGTTTCTTGACCTATTCTGTAACTTGAATAGAAATCAACAAAAAAAATGGGGTCAGTTACTTGATTCAAATTGCTTTTTTTCGAAAGAAGTACATATAGCTACAGCAAATATGCGACAATAAGTATGTGCAAGTAGTCAAGAAATTAACAACGTCGGCGTATATGTGGTCGTGGTGCACCAAAACCAAATCCCGATCTCATATGATGATGATGGTGGTGATGCTGAAGACCGAGTCGAACTGTTGGTGTTGCACCATGCGCCGGACCCCATGTTGGTCCAAAGTAATTATTATAATGTTGATATGATTGTGGACGACACTGTGACTGACTAGTACCCATCCTATTTATTGAGTGATAGACCAGAGATGAAGAGGAATCTACTATATTTTTTTGTGATAGAAGAGAGAGAGAGAGGAGGAGGAGAAAAAAAGCTATGACGACAGTAGTCGATTCTTCTTCCTGTTTTTTACAAGAAAAAGAATTATAAAACACATTAAAGAAATAAGTTTTTAAACGAGAATAAAATATTAATAAATTTTTTTTCCTGTAGAAAACAGTTCGACCTTTTGACGAAAAGACCACCCGTTATTGCCTCTACTTCTAGTTTAGTCTCAACAGATATCCTATAATTAGGAAAAATGACGTGATATCATTTGTTCGAGTCGATGGATAGTCGATAAACCTCGATGGACAAAATAACAAATATTTTTGTTAATTAGGAAATATTCTTTGGCGTTAAAAACAATTATAATCCGACAAAAACATACCGTAATCGGACTATTTGATCTAAATTAGCATACTTTCGAAGCAGTTGACCTTTAGCGACTCCACTGACAAGGAATGAACCGAAGCAAATATCCATATGTGTTGTTCGGTTGCACTAGGAACGACCAATAACGACAGTTTTCCATTAGCATCATTCTTGATTTTCAATATACGTTATATTTCTAATTGAATATTATATTCTAAAGTTAAATTATGTCTGTTGGCCTGGTAGTTTCTCTACTTGGCTCAATAAGGCAAAAGAGAGCATTCAGAGTATGATTCGATTTGATAAAAAGTGAATGGATAGCGTACGGGGATTCTAAGTACATGGCAGAGCATCTGGCCATTCGGCAGGTGAGTTGTTACACACTCCTTAGCGGATGATAACTTCCATATCCACCGACCTGAGTTCACTACAGCAATCAGACACCCATTTTGCCATCCCTCCAGTTCTCAGACGAAGTATCCCCGCGAGAATACAAGCCAAACACTTACGATTTTGCTCGGTATTTTTCCTTTTTATTCTGTTTCGCAATTCAAATTGTGCAATAACGTTCGCTTGACAACAAGCAACAGGAAGATGCTTTACGTTCTCCAATATGACTTACTTTTTTTGGTTAACATAACTCATGAGTCAAGAACAGGAACGTTTTCTTTTCTAAATCAACTTATATTTTCATTAGAACGAGAAATAAAACTATAAAAAATCAATTTTCATCCGATGCATGAGTCATCCGACATATAATATCCTAAGAGATCTGAAAAGAGTTACAACCAGCGCATTCGATTCCAACCACGAGACATCTTCGGCCGTTGATAATGATAATAGTAATGAAAGAGATCCGATGATGATGTCCAAGCAGCAGTAGAATTTTGTCGTGTCATTGATACATCTGTATTGATTCGAATAAAGGCGAGAAAACTTAAATATTTATCGTTGGAATATTTCTTTCTTAATCTTGTACGACAGCGATATGAAATTGATAGATAACCACGATCGAAATCTTCGTAGAAAAGTCGATACGAATCCCAAAAACCAAAATCTATTTCAGATCGTTTTGTTTCGAATAAACAACTACGTTCATTGGCTTCAACCTAATCCATCATTCAATTTCTCATAGTTTCGATCATTTATTTTACTTACTAAGCCGAACAATCGATGCTTTCGACCACATAGATATCGTTGACTTTGTTTATGTTGAATAAAAAAGAGATTCACAGCAACAGGAAGAAATACAAAGATACCTAAAAGCCAAAAACCAAGAATTTTCAGTTCCTGCGACCTTTACTAATAGAATTAATGTGTTCCAAGATGTATGTATTCTTAAGTATGTGCTGACAGCGAAGACTTGCCTTCTATGATCATTTATCAAGTGTCTGAGTCAATTATTCAAACTTATTAGTAGTTCATTATGATCGAAAGATAAGAGTCATTAGCATAATGGTACGGATCTCTATTTCCGTCAATTTTTTTCCTTGGTTGCCGACACGGTTTGACTTACCATCAATGGTTTCTTTTGCATCGTGAAGATCAGTGACATGTTTTGCATGGATAAAACCGTCTAATGAACGCATCTGCAGCAAACATTGACTTCTCGAAATGATCTTATAAGTTGAGACAAGTTTTTCTCGTTCATCGTATGTATCGCGTTCACTACGCGATGGCAAATATTCTATTGCTGTTGCAGATAAGAATATGATGAACGTTAAGTAGATGATTAAGACCACGAATCTTTCGTATAGAATAGCGAAGATGGCAAACATGTGACGATGTTGTCAACTTGAATTAGTATGACGTGAAGAGAACGAATATGAGCGTAAGACGATTAGCACAGTATATACTTGTTTGAGAATAAAAAAATGTCAAATCAGTTTCACTTGTCGATATAATGTATATAAACGTTTGCAAATACAAAGAGAATTAGTACAATTAACCTTAGAAGTGTTACAGAATAGCAAAAAAAGACGATACTAAAGAAAGAACAGGACAAGTTTTTTTTCTGCCTATAATAGAACATCGTAGAAGAGTATTATCGGCTAGGAAAAGAAAGAGAAAAAAATTGTACTAAATTATCATTGACATAGGTACTTTAGAGCCGAAGTACGTATTCAGTATGAGAAAAGTGGCTCTTAACATCAACTATTTTACTATTGATCATTCGAAACTCGGATCAGAATCGTTTTTAAATCTAAGTAAGCGCTTTCTTGCTTGAAAAGAATAACGGAGGTTGTCTGTGTGCGAAGATCTTCACGAAATAGCACATAATTGCAAAGCATGATTTAATAAATCTCGTCGAATTTCAACTGATCAGTGCTTCATCAGTGCGAATAAAACCAGAGACGATACGGTACTACAAATCAATTCTAGCATATATCACATTAGGTGACATATCCCCAAGATCAATTTGACGTTAACTATCGACAATTATGTCGACTTGTTCAAAGATCAACAAATTGTTAGTCATTAGCTGGCCCGCATCGAATTGTTTTCTATCGGAGTGCTTGCATTATTGAATTCGGTACTGTATCATATTTTGATAACGATTTTCCACATCAATCCGAGTTCTTCGCACGAAGGAAAGCGTATGTGCTGGTTATAGTCGCCGTATGTGATCAGTAATATGTCAAATGTAACGGACTAAGTAAACATGCGAAATGTTGTCAAAGGAGAAATAGCAGATTAAGAGTTCACACAATCAGCTAATCACTATTAATTATTCCCGTCCAATAATCTGCTGTTTTTCACCTATTTACACCCTAATATCTTTCGTGATGAGCATGAGCTTGTGATAGTTTTCATTAGGTCTGATAATAAATCGAAATTGAGATGTGCTGATAACTTTTAACTGAATTTTTTAGACGATTCATTGTTTCATTATCGGAGTTGAAGCGGACAAAGTAATTTTAATAATCTACTCGAAAGATATGACTGTTTACGCTGAATAAAATGGAGAATCAAACTATCACGGCCTAATTCATTGTTCTTTTCAATAATAAAAACATAAATAAAGTACAACCTATTTATAAGTAATCAGGTATTCGGGTAAAATGTGTCTATTTGAAAAAACAACATGAATATTTGAACGACCTGCTACTGAATCATAACCGGGTGGACACATTGATTCCTTCCAATTTCCTTTACAGCTCTGACCAGTGAGTACTCTGCACATAAGAATTCGTTTTTCGTTGGTCAACGGATTTCGCAAAGCATATTGATCACTAAGTGATCGACTGGATGAGAAATAGAAGCCACGTCCATAAGAGCTACCTGTAGAATACATATTCATCATAGAAATCTAGAAGTTATCATTCAGATATAGAATCTTACCATTCGCCCCAATACGTCCGTGATCAAATCCGTGGCGTAAAATCTGTTCAGCCGCAGCATAAGGACATCCGTGGAATAAAAGCTTTTCTGTATTATCATGACCAAGCCTATTATCTACCAATTGTTTTTGATTGAGATATTCTATTAACCATACAATATTGTCAATTCGATGAACATGAACAATCGATGATGCACCGCCATCGAAATCATCAGCAACTCTTTGAAATTCATCAGACTCTTTCAGTACTTCCGTGAGTGTGCTCGGTGGTACGGACCAGTTTTCTTTTGAAATATGTGTTAATGGCAAACCAGTTGTGTCGGGTAAACCAAAACGCGGACAAAATACACCAGATGTTTGAGTAAGCAAAACAAACATTTCGTCAATCGACATATCACCATGAATAACACAATCAACTTTTACTTCGCCACGTAAAATGATTAAACAGATCAATAGTGGATATATTTCTTTCGGTGATGAATCAATGACAGCAGCTACCTCTTCTCCTACATGTTCAATAATAATACTCAAGAGTCTATAAAATTCAATCGAAGATCGTTACTCATTTTCGTTTCGTATCTTCAACTCACTCAAAATAATTTTCTTCGGTTAGATTCCATGACCATAGACCAAATTGTTCCATCAGACAAGCACGCATTTCTTCCGATTTTGAAATAGTCCAATTAAAAAGTTCTGTCTTTATATTTGCATTATCATATATGTATAATGCCAACGGTCGAGACTAAAACATAGCGAACATGTGTATCTGTTTTTGAAAACAACCTCTTAAAGTACAATAGTTGCTCCATACAAAGAGTTAGATAAAGCTTGTTCGAACGATTGTTGACAAAATGATGCCAATGACCATGGAGACTGATCAATAGGCCGTTCGCAGGAGAGGTCTTGTTCCAAAACTGGAAAATGCATGATTTAATTGACTTCAATGTAACCTTTCACTTGCCTTGTCTTACCTTCACTCTCATCGATTGATGTACACGACTCTGTTTTCGTTGTTATCTAAAAAGATTCTCAATACTTAAAGTTTCGCGATAGGAAACTCTGAATTAGCATACTAAAGTTTCAGTTGTTTGCAATGTTTCCATAACTTCTCTTTGGTACACTATAGTTTTATCAAATGGAAACAGGAGAAATGATGTTGTAAGTTTTAAATATAATATCCCAGGCAAATTCCCATTTAGTTTACGTTAACAACGCGTCATACGTTAGAGAGAAAGAAAAAAGCAAATAGGCAAACAGAAAAAATACCAACATAGTATCACAATGTATGGAAAAAAACCGGATCATTTTTCCTAGTAAACTAAAATAAAATGAGTATGACATACTTCAAAATGTATAAGATATCTGCCTGTTGACTGATATGATAAACCATAGGCAAGTTTAGTGATGGGAATTAACGAAAAAATGACATATACAAGTATGATGATTTGGCTTTACATTGAATCACTGACCAAACATTCTTTATGTGACTTTTCACCTGTCGAGTAAGTGAATATGAATTTCATCATGCTGACTTTCAACAATTCTCAAAAATCATTTATCATAGTAAAGTCAGCCATATAGAAATGTGTAAAAGGAGATATTGGAACAATAATCAAGTTTCGATCATTAGATGAATTCCCGAATATTGACAAACACTGTCAAAACGAATGATTCACTTATACTCTCTCGAGATGATACAAATCATAATTGAAACTTTCGATTGTTTTAGATAAACAAAAACCGATGATGTACTCCTCCCCTTCTCCACGTCAATCGCTAACAATCGTGAATTGATGCACATTGTATTTCTATCATCTCTCGCTTACTTCGATCGATGCACTCAGGCATAAAATAGTCAAGATGTGACGATGTCTGTCGCATCATTAATAAGATATTTATTAAAATTTTAATGATTTCCATCGATATGAAATTCTACAGTTGTGGTCGGCGTAACAACAGGATTGTTGAGTAAAAGTCCCCGAGCAATAGCTCCCTGTTCGATCTTTTCCAAATCCGTTTGATGTAAATGAACTTTGGCTCGCGTGACACGAAAATAAAAACCAATTGCGAATAAAATAAATGGACAGCCAACAAGACACAGTGTCACAAGCGCTGATATTGCCGCTAGACGAGAGAATCCACTAACTTTAATCCAAATGATAATTCCCAATTCGATTATAAATAAAAATAAGCCAAGTCCAGTCGAAACGACCCAAGCTATTTCGATATAAATATTCAACGACGATAGCGGTTTACTATTTTCATTATTTATCCACACATCACTTTGACGGATTACACTTTTCAATTCAGGTAAAATACACATCGACATCAATAATGCAAGAAGATGTATTCCAACTAACAGACATGAGATAATAGCATAGCAAACGAGTAGATTATCATTTGAACTATGATCTTTGTACGAATCTAACGATAATTCTACGATTGCAACCTTTGAAACAAAAGCAAAGCAAGGCTCGATAAGAAAGATGCGAGATCAGTGACTTACGATAGCAAATCCGCTGAGTAATGCAGACGTTTCATTGACACTCTCGAGTTTTGATTTACGGTAAAATAGATTTTGTAAGCGTTGGTCTGCTTTACCCGTTTTTCCTAAACAAACAATCGTTTGCATTAACGAAACAATGTATTTATTAATTAAATTTACCTTTCGTGGACAAATACAATGACGAATCAGACATACTTTCTTCTTATCAACTAAACTACAGCATAATAATACAACGATCAAGGAAAAAAAATTACAAATTCATTCGACTGATTGTTTTTCGTTCGTTCGTTCGTTCGTTTCTTTCTTTTTCTTCTACCAGACGATACACAAATAGTCCGATCATTTTTTGATAAGCGTTACTAAGAGTGATACCTTGTTCTCTTTCTCGTTCGCTTTTTCTTTCATTCTGTTACATACTTGCTTGCCATACTAAGTGTATCATATCGAAATATTTGCGCACATGTTGAATAGTTTCTTTCCTTTGATCAAAGTCAACATACAGATATTTGATTCACTTTATCAATCCAAGCCATTGAATACATCTCTATGCAAGTTCATCAACAAGTCACGCTACAAATCATTTTATAATAAGAATGTACCGAATCTATTCGCATGATCACAATGCCGAAAGCGAAAGACTCCTGTCATGCAATTTCCATTTTAGTCTTTGATTATAAAGCGATATATTCTTGTCATAATTTGTTCTCTATTCCATTCAATTAACAGAGCATATTCTGTTTGTCAATATTACATCCCGTTCGTCTACATTGTGTACTCGCAGAGAACGATGAGTTCTTTGTTTCGAAGAACTAAACATAAACGAAATTTTACAGATTCATTTATTGAGAAAACACGTAAATTCGTACGACAAGGCCTGCAAGGTAAATATAATTGCAAATTTCTTTGTCTATTTACGCAAGAAATCTAAGAATACCATAGCAATAAGTTCTGCTATTTCTATGCATGTGATGATAAAAGAAGAATAAGAAGAAGAAGGAGCAGCAGCAGTGATGACGTATTGGATCGATATTCCTTATTCCGGAGAACGATACTCGATTATAATATTATATATTTAGCAAAAATAGCATAGATATATCATCATTTCCACACGACGATTCTTGTTCTTGGCACGTTTGTATAATTGAGATTAATATTTGATATCTTAACAGAACTCAAAGTTTAAAATACGTCAATTCACTCAGATCACGTCACGCGTATGTATGTTGTTTTCATTCAGATTTCTGGATAAGAATATCTGACACTAGTAAATTTTCAAAATGGGTGTTGCAATGGTAATAAACACACGAATTGGTGGAAGTAAGTGGCATGCAGAGTCGATTTAGTTCTTTCACAGCATGTATCCTCGAAAAGATTCCTTGTGATAATCAATACGTTCGTTTTTTGACGACGATTGAACCGATTAATCATCATCATCAAATATGACGCTCTCAACAATGTGTGAAATGACTCCTTGATGACATTTGATCGAATCGCGGCTATGCATGTCGTCTCTCTTAACATTGATAAGTGAGGAAGGGAACTTCGGGAGTTCTTTTGCTTTTTTTCTCTGATCATAAGATTAATCTTTCTTTCTTCTTTTCCTTCGAATCAACGAGCGAGAAATGAGAGAAGAAAAAGCTATTTATTTTACATCTCATGTCTGTCGAAATGATACTTTGAAAAACGTCTTCGATTGAGTTGATCATCATTATTTAGATTGTTGACATTCACGATATTCTTCTTTTCTTCTCCTCTCGTTACATGAAAGATAGAGAGAAACGTTTTTTCCGTTTCGACAAAAATAATGGTACATCATCTCTTGCATTTCCAAGATTGTTTCAGATACAAACAACTTTTTTTTCTCGTTATAATCATATGGATGATCGACGATGGATGAATACTCCTCGTCTGTCGATTGTAAGTTTAGTAGAAAGAAAAAAGAATTGTACGAGATAGAGAGCAAGAAATCTCTTCTTAGTTTCAAACTAGACGAATCTAATCAAATACTCCCACTTGAGATTTTTCTTTCAACTGATCTATTTAGACACTGATTATGTTGATGATGGAGTGGAAACATTAAAAAGATACAAACCGCGAAGTCTGGATGAATTGGCAATGCGAACGAAATTTAGTAAAAAAGAGATTCAATTAATTTATCAAGGTTTTAAACAAGAGTGTCCATCAGGTATGATTGGAGCGAAAATGGATGAAACTTGCGTGATCGTTTCTGTTCTATGCTCATAGGGACGGTGAATGAAGAAACTTTTAAAAACATTTATGGACAATTTTTTCCATTTGCTGATACATCGACTTATGCCCATCTAATATTTTCGACATTTGATTTACGTTCCGCTGGCTTTGTGACTTTCGAAGATTTTCTCATTTGCCTATCGACATTATGTCGAGGAACGATCGAAGAACGATTAAAATGGATCTTTGCATTGTATGACACGAAAAAATCGGGTAAACTAACAAACGATGTAAGTAGTAACGATCAATAAGGAACACTGGCAAGTTATGAGTTGTTTTTTTCGTTTAGGATTTCTATCTGATTCTTTGTGCTATTTATTCTCTACTTGGAAATGTAGCCAATCGACATTATGATCACGAAACGATCCGAGAACATACGATGAATGTCTTTCAAAAATTCGACAAATTACATCGAGGATACCTTACTGTACAAGATTTCGTTTCATACTGCTTGAAAGTAAAATGAAAACGTTTACAAATGCTTTCAATTCAATATTTCGATTTTCTAGGATCCGTTAATTATTCAATCAATTGAATCATTACGAACGACTGTGTAACGCAACAAATCATTCCGTTGGAGCAATGAATAAAGACCATTAGTATTTCATAGATCATCTGCATGTTATAATTACATTTGTTCGAATTCGACGATATATTTGAATCTTACGATAATTTAATTTGAATAAGCTTTTTAGACATGAAAATCTTTATAAAAAAAACTCGTTACTTGCTTCGATAATTATATCAATCATGCTTTTATGCGTAAAAGAAACAAATGTTCGCCTTTAACTTCTTAAAGCTTCTAAACGTTTCTGCATTTCATCTTCTTCACTATCGACATCAACTGTCGGAAGTTTCAGTGGCTGATTATCAATCACAGGTGGTAGTTGGCTGACTTTTCCTGCAACAGACAAAAACGCTTTCTGAGAGAAATCGTTCACGTTCATTGTTCTATTACCAGCAAGAATTTCGTTCAATATTTTATCCACTTCTTCGTCGGTTTCTTCTTCGAGGTCATTATTATCGGTAGCTGCATCGACAGCTTCATTCATCATTTCGCTCATAATACCCATCTGAAACGAAAAATGATGTTTGAAAATTTTTTTTCTCTCGAAACACTATGAAATATTTTCATACTTTGATTAGTTCTTTGGAAAATTGTTCGGAAATCGATTGAAATTGTTCAACTTTCATCAACTCTGCTAAGGAATGTGCAATTTGACTACTTGTTTGCATCACACCAGTTATTCTCACATTAGCTACACGATTCAATTCATAGATTTCAAACACAAATTTGCCTGTAGATTACTTAGTTGGCTTTTGACTGCACCATCGATCGTATCGAGATTAGCTTTCGCGGCGTATAGATTACTTTTATCGCGTTTAATTCTAAATATTTGACAAAAGATTACACTTTTCTGACAATAACTTATCTCTCTATTTACTTAACGACCGCTTTGGCTAATGTTCGAAGAGCGTCTTTGTTGTTGGTCATGGCATGTTTACGAATATCGTTTGAAAGACGTAGAATCTCTCGGTCAGATTCTGTAAAAATGAAATTATGTAGGACAAGTCAATTGAATGACTCCCTTACGGTTAATTTGGCGATCTAATTGTCGTTTTTCTTGTCGAATTTGTGTGCTAATTGCTCGCGACTGCAAAGGAAAAGATACAGATGAAAAAATTAAGAAAGAAAATCCCACCTGCTCACGAGCAATTTCATATGGGGTTCGTTTATCTTTTTTTCCGAAGAAACTCATGGAAATGTTTTTCTATTTGGCTAGATTTCGAAACCAATGAATGTTTATCGAATGACGTTGACTGTCTCGCTTTTATACGATTATCTTATCTACAACCTAACAAAATTGTTTTTCCCTTTGCTGCTTGTTAGCGTTCTTATTTATTCTATGTTGTCATTTGATGAATAATTTCAGTTACAACTTACTCATTTCTGTTCGCTTTATTCACATTAGCATATCATACACTCTGCATTCTGGTAATGACATTGCTAATTAAGAAAAAATCACTCCCTGAGAATTCTGAACATCTTTGAAAAAACTCCTCATGATTCTTCGTGTCAAAGTAGTCACGTTTTGTTTGTAATTTCCAGATAAACCACTTTTCAACTTCAATGTCAGTCGATCAGTTGGATTCTGCTATTGGTGATACATTAGTAACACGTGTTACTGATAAGACCGATGTTCCGATTCGTTCGTTATATTCGAATCAACCTGTTGTTTTGATTTTTCTACGTCGTTTCGGTTGTCAACTATGTCGTTCGTATGCATTGAAATTAAGTAATGAATTACATCCTATTTTAAAAAAGAACAATATTGGTTTCGTCGGTATTGGACTGGAACAGTTTGGTTTAGAGGAATTTCAGCAAGGAAATTACTTTTCGGGCGATCTTTATGTTGACGAAGGCAAGAAAACGTATCGTATCCTTGGCTTACCTTACCTAGGTTGGATAAAAGGCATTTCTGATATTTTCGCAAGTTCCACACGAACGTGGGACAACGAAACTAAAAAGATGGGTGTCACAGGAAACTTGAAAGGTGATGGCTTCCAGTTAGGTGCTACATATGTTGTCGGACCGAAAGATGGGAAAGTTTGGTTAGCTCATCCTCAGAAAGATTAGTAAGTAATTGATAAACTACATCGGATCAATGATTATATCATTCTGCATTTGTGTTTAGTGGTGATCATCCATCAATCGACGAAATCGTCAAAACAATTCGAAATAACGTATCAGATTTTCGCGAATAAAGTTGTTATCATTTTAAATCGCTTTTATGCAATAAAATTTGATCTTCGTCTATCTGATAAGATGAAAGATATAGATCATTTTGAAAGAAATACATTCATCATCATTTATTCGAAAGAACTGAATGCATCACTTCAACAGAATTTATTAATATTATATTCACACTATGATGCCAAATTCAGAAAAGACGACCAACGTCACTATTGATGTATGCTACATGATTTCTAAACGAAAATAAAACACGACGACGTGAATCACTTCACATATTCTGAGTCGAGGGCGAACATGTTCCTTCCTCCATCCTTTTTTTTATGTCGTCGACATTGATGCACACTTCAGTCTTGACGTGACTTATTCTTATTATTGCAATAGAGCTATGTAAGGTTGACAGAACGTTAAAGGATATTTATTTGTGAAAAATGACTAAAGCTTCCATTTTGGCCCTTTGGTTTTTCGAGATTACAGAATAAAAGAAAATTGTTTCTTCCATAAAAATTCGACGAGACATGTAGACATGCTTGATTATCATTCACGATCGATGACTATTCATTCTGTACGGTTACTCCAAATAAGCCAGAGAGCATGAATACAGCCAGGTAGAACACCAAGAATAGTAAGAAGACTAAACAGAAGAACAAAAAGCGATTGATAGTAAAATTGCTTCATCTAATTCAAAAGTCGACTATACATGTTTAAAAAGAAATGGGATGTACATCCAACTTTTAACAAGGCAGCAACTGGTGGCAACAAAATGGCCAAAATTGTCAATAGGCTAAAAATAGAAAGATCAACCAGTAGAGGATGAATCACTCGCTTCAATTGAACTTACAGGGTACCGCAACAGCCCATTTTGAACTAAAACTATTTTTCTAACGATTCGAATATCTTTTATCTGAAAGAGATTACAATGTAACTGTCCTTGATAAATAAAAACTGATCACATCGAATCTATATTCAAATACGTGTGATAATGCTTACTGCATCATCAAATGACTATTTTTCTCTTTTCTCATTCTGTTTTTTTTTCTATTCTTATTACCGCGTTTTGGCATCGGATCAAACCCTTCGCCCTCACATATATAATCGACGACATATTCAATTCGCAATGTAAGTATTCGTCCATTTGCGCATCGAAGTACACGTATCAGTATGAATAGCTAGACAGACTGTACCCTGTTTTCATTAATCATAGAATAATTTCTGGCGAAAAATTATCGATCGTTTCGTAGCGATAATAACATGCTAAAAGTGATTGCGACCGTCTTATATTTAGTAAAGATTTTTCTACTTGAACTGCTCCTTTTCCACAAAAGAATAGTGTTAACTTTTGCCGTTCTTTTTCTTTTTAAGAAGAAAAACGAGATTTTCTATTAAGAACATTGTTAGCGGCGGTAATAAGTAATACTCTTCTTTTTTCTCTCTTTTTTTGCGATGAAATTCTTCTCAGGTCAATCAGTACATTACGTATGGAATTTTCGAAGTCTTGTTCAAAAGATATGACTTGAAAAACGTCATATTAGTTGATTTTCTCTCTTTTATTTTCTTCTTTGTGTGCATCGATTATTTTGGTAGCTAAGCAAACGAATGATTGATTGAGACGAAACGAGAGAAAAACCGACTCATGGAGCATATGTAATCGTATTACAAATATCGAGTACTGTAGTTTTGTCGTCATACATGGGCGTCTGCCGTATATATCCATTTGTCCTTTTTCCTGCTCAGTACATAATACGAGAAATATTTTTGTATCAGTATATACCAATATAATAATTGGTGTTTTTATATTTCGCTCTACTCATTAGATGCGTAGACTTACAGATAAACATAAATTATCATCAACGAATAGTACGGGGTATAAAAACACTGATTCTCTTTACGTGTTTGTCATTTTTTTCAAGTTCCATACTATTATTTCAGATAAACTAGCGTTCTCCTCACCGATCGATTTTGTCTATCATGGGCGACATAATTGGCAATCTTCTTTTATCCATTTTGGCTATTATTTTGCCACCAGTTGCTGCTATTATCAAAGTAAAAATCCGAATTCATTAAATCATGATTTTACTTAAACACTTCTGTTCATTTAGGTTGGATGTACAACACATTTTTGGATTAATTTGTTGTTAACTCTACTCGGTTGGTTACCTGGTTGTATTCATGCATTATGGCTTATCTGGGCCGGTTCAGTCTAATTATATACAATTCTATTGAACAAATCATAAACTGAAAAGAAACATTTGTTTCTCTGTTACTTTTTTCTTTATTACTAATGTATCTTAAATCCAGCAAAAACTTTCTTATACATATAAAAGAAAAAGAAAAACCGACACTGTCTAATAGTATTGGCCGTATTGCGCATCTTGATCATGATAAGGAAGTTGCTGTTGTGGTGCTGCTGCTCGTGCTAAACCGGGTGGTCGTTGCATTGCTTGTTGTGCTTGTATTCTCCATTGATCCGTAAAATTTTGTCCACTTGGAGGAGCACCGCGACGCTTTGTTTCATGTCGATACTGTCCAGTAGCTGGATCACGAGTTCGCTCGATAATTTCTCCATGGTCGCCAACGAAATATCCTACTTGCATGCGATCGATGCCACGATCTGGATCGCGTAGGGCTTTTTTCGTTTGCCAGATGCCACCAGGTCCCATTCGACGCTCGTCATGGGCTTGAACAATATGTGGACGACCATCTGGTCCACGAGATATTTGTGTCACATTCATCGAACTTATACCGAAAATTTTCACTCCTGAATCACCAGAGCTTATATTTGCCAATGAAGAAACACCGTCTACACTCGGTCCATTTTGTATCATATCATTCATCATTCGATTTGCGATGCCGAGAAATGAACGAAATATATCTCCGTCACTGCTTTCATTGAAGACAGCTCTATCAACAACTGCGCCGTTGTTCGAATTATACTGCTGAATTGGATACGACATGCTAATTTTTCAAAAGGAAAATATCTTGCACTTATGGATTCTATACGTTTGTATATATATTATTAACTTTCGTTGTAATGACGAAAAAAGGGTATTTTTATTACTTGAAACTTAGAGAATGAATGAATAATCATCGAGAATGATCGATGGTTATACTTGAATGATTTTACAACGCTTTGTTATTTTATTTTTGACGTGTTTATTCCGTATTTAATGTGAAAAACGATTTTAACGGGTGAAAGACAGAAGAAAAGTGATTGGATTCTTCATGGAACAACGTGAAAACTCATCGATTTAAATAGAAGTCTTGACATCGTAGCATTTTCATACTTGCAGTTTTTTTTAATATCATTTTAAATGACTCTAATCCTCTTTTACTGTTGTTTAATCCTCGGTAATATTCACCTTGAGACGGAAAGACAATAATATTTATTGAAGTCGTTTTGCCTCTAATCTATCATTTCAACTGGCAAATTATAATGAATAAACAGTAGAGAGACGATCGATTATCCAATAGCGTTATCTCGATGTTTGGACTATACGATCCCAGACTAATAAAATACATTTTCTTCGAAAGATAATGAAACTTCGAAGAAAATTGGTTTGTATTCAATTAGTTTTCATTGTGAAATTCCTATCAGAACAAAAACAATATTTTCGTTCCTTATTTTTATTGAATCGTTCACAAATAATATTGAAACATATCTCGAATTGATGCATATCTTGCCGTTCTCGTGTCAAGATTCGCTTTCACTCTTTCCCTTTGACATATGTGCAAAGAAAAAAAAGTGATGCAGCGTTCATTTGGAACTAACACTGGTGACGCATCGGCAAGCCTACTGCGCTCTTCATTCATCGCGCGCTTTTTTTTCCTTTTCTATCGCGCGAGAGCGGACGGATGAAATAATCCACGTTCGTCGTTCTTTTCTCTTCCTTTCTTCGCTATTCGTAACATCGCGCAGCATACGCACGCACCCCGACACGCACATCTATAGACAGAAGAAAAAGGACGACGATAGAGGCACTACTAGTAAACAAAGTGTCAATTGATTTG